CAAAATGAAACATAAGAGAAATTTGGCTGCACTGCATATGATAAATACAGTACATCGAATCAAATGTTTTCTTCGTGGTTTTTATGTTATTCTTCGTTCTTCCAACATCGAGTTTAAAAGAAAAACAAACTTTCCTGCTGTAATTTGTTTCGTAGGTAAAGCCTCTTCTGGCTTCAAATGTGACCCAACAGAGCGCTGTCCGTCCAGTCAGATAAAAAAAACACAATCGATGAAGTGAAATGCAAGCTGTCCTCGTGTTTGCGATGCCTCATACAGAATTAATTTTTGACACTTATTATAATTGCGACGAGATTAAATAATAGTTATTTAATTTTATCACGATATGAACTGTTTGGTTACAGAAGTAGACAGTAGAACACAATAAAAAAAATTAAAAATTGCAGATATTTACGCGAAGAATCCAAAATTTAACGAAAAGTCTTTCAATGTGACATTTGTGATAAGCGCCCTAAGTCAAAGTTTTATTACGAGAAACACGAGGAAACACATATATATCCCATTGTCGTAAGATATTTAAGAAAGAATTTAAAGGGAAACATCAGCTGACACGTAATGAAGTTACTCATAGAGTTTTCAAATACTATTTTTGTAATAAGAGCTATAAAACAAAACCCCATTTAAATAGGCGTTGTGAAACTCATAGAGACCGACGTAAGTATCAATATTCTTGTCAAATATGTAATAACTGTTTTAAACACGATTGTTGTTTTAAAAGGCATGTTGAAATGTGCAATGATGAATACAAGTGTTCTTGTGATATTTTAAAAGAAAACATTCTTTGGGACAACATAGACATTCATAGCGATAAAATAAGTATTTTTGGGACGTTTGTAAAACAAATTTCGAAAGAATACTTTCGTCAGCGAACATCGCTTTGTTCAACACGAAAACATTTTGATGGGATCGTATTCTATTGATAATAGGCGATTTAATACTAAAAATAAGATGAAAAGTCATTCGAAAAGTCGAATTCAAACATGTGAAATCTGTAAAAAAAAGTTTTGCATGTAAAGGAAATTTGATCTTTTATCAGGGATTTCATTCTAATGTATAACAGTTTCATTGTGAGGTGTGTAAGAAAGACTTTTGTATTTAAATAAAAATTGAAATAACTCGACAGTGTTCATAATAAAGACAATTTTCCTTAGTGTTGTGAGATGTATACGAACATTTTCAATGTATAAAGTGATTAGTCGAGGCATTATTCGTCTTAAAGAAAAATTGTTTTGACTTAATTTTAAATGTAATTTTGAAACTGAAGATAAACTAACATTTTGTTTAAAATGTTCGAAACGAAATAACAGAGCCAGTGAAAAGTAGCATTAATATAGTTATATGAAACTGATTCCTATATAGACATAAAATATTTTAATGTCACTAATGGAAGAATATATAGCTTCATAATCAACATATCATTAACTAATCATTTCTTGGACCAATTGGTCGGACTTGTTTCTAATTTCCTTTTATTATGATACATGAACAGTCATATTTCCCTCTTAGTATTTGCGAAGAATATTACAAAACATCGAAATGTCAATTGCTTGCTTCAATGACATTGGTGTCACGTTAGTTACGCATAATAATAAAAAATAATGTCATTGCTATATTCTAATTGAATAAATTACAAAAGATCTATAGATAAATAAATAGCTGCAGAAAGATCGAAATCAAAACAACATGGTCAATTTTTGCACACTCTTTTCATTATTTATATTACAACAAAATGGACTGTACATAAATAAAAAACACGGTGAACATGATTAGAATAACTACTACTTTCCAAAACATACTATTGCAAAAATTTCAGACCAAAATAATATGTAAAAAATAACGTAGTTTTTATATTTTTCGGTTTTTTCATCTACAATAGCAAACAGTGGGCTCTCCCGAAACTTTCCATCTCACATCGGCATGATAGCGATGGGAAAAAGTCATAAAATACAATAAATAATAAAGAAATTATTATTAATATTTAAAAAATCGAACATTTGTACCGAAATTTCACTAAAATTTCTTGTAATATCTTTANAATTTTATGTTCGAATTTAATTCGAACATGAAATTCGAATATTGGTTCGATTAAAGAACGATTGTAAACGTTCCAGAAACGTTGAAGATAGTTCGTTTGACTGGACGTGAACAGGAGACGTTCAGAAATAGAATCGGGACCAGGTCTCTAATTATTCTGAAAACGTGGGACCTAATTCTTGCATTCTGTGAAAACGCGTAAGATTGGCTATAATGTAATTATCTTAATCTTCACTATCGTTACATTTTAAAAACCCAGCGAAGCGGGCCCTAGCAGCTAGATTCCAGATTACTTAGAAAAACATTTTTTTAAATTTTAAATAAACTACATTACATACAAATGTACGAAAAATAAAAACCTAGCGAAGCGGGCCCTTGCAACTACTTATAAAATATAGTTAAATATACTTTAATCAAAAATTTCTTGGTATCGTTGAAGTAATCATTCATTGATGTGCATAGAGGTTCTTTACCAAATTTCTTCATAAAATTAAGCATCTGTACAATAAATAATTGTCATCACCGTATCTAAATTTTACAAAAATATTAACATTTATTTTAAAAAAGCAAATTTTAAATACTTTAACTTTAATTTCTGTTCTAACGTCAAATTGCAATCATCAAATTTTCTTATATCTTAAAATGGTGTTTGCATCTGAAAGACGAAAAACAAAGAATTTGGTAAAATCTACAAACTAAATTAAGTTTTCATTTTGCGTAATAAAAAGTCTTACGATTGATGTAAAAACAGTCTTCGAAATTTCAAACAAAATACACAAAGTTGTTATTAAAGCCCAACATAGAAAAATGAGCAGTTTCGATGCAAATTTCATATTCGAAAAGATAGCAATGAAACACGCTTTTGTTAATAGATTATCAAAAACAATCGTCAATACACAATTGAATGGTCCGTTGAATTAATTAGTATAAGTCCAAATTTCATGGTGTTGTGCCGTAATTTCTCCCAACTCCAATTCCAAGTTTGGATTAGACACTCCCAAAATCACCCGAAACACGAGGATGGCCACCTTTCGATTGCCATTTCCGGGGAGCGCCATGGAGAGTCGCGCCTCGCTTGCTCTCTCTGTGCTTGTACTCCTAAGTACTCCTGAAGGCTTATAACCTTCAGGAGTACTTAGGAGTACTTATTACCTCGGGAGGCGAAGGTATGTCACGTGACCCGCGCCCGAGGAGACCGCTTGAAGGGCCTGTCATGCGCAGTGCGATACTCGGCCTAGCATGGCTCAAGTATCAGTTCCTAAGTGTTTCTGGCAGTGAGCCGGTGAGAAGTGGACCCGCGCCGGCCGAATACCAGGGTTCGCAATATTAACATGTCCAGGTAAATTAAATAAAACAATTTTCTATTCTGTGAAACTGAGTTGGAGTATCCTTAAAGCCAGTTTAATAAGTCCTGTTAATATATATGTACTAGTGGACGAAATGAGATTATACTTAACCCGAACGATTCGGTATCGTTTTTAGCCTATCTTTATTAAATACGAATTAATTAACGTTTTACTTTCTGTACAAATATTTCATACTTATTTTGAATATTTCTTCAATATATTTCACACACGGAGAGAATAATTGAATAAAATCATTAAAGCTTATCGTTTTTTCACAGAATAATTCAATATTCAAATAAATCACTTTTCTTACGGACTAATAGAACGTGTAAGCTCTATTGATACGAATTTATTTTTCGTCAGTTAACGAGCGAATCGGGTCTAACAAAACTTCTTGGCCCACCACTATTTTGCCTGTTACTAACTTTATTCGCAATGAAGTCGGCGACTCCACGTGATAGAGATGGGACGATGTTGGCCACGGATGACGGCTTGATACGGTCGACACAAACTTTAAAAAAATATGCATGCAATTAGTTAATGGCGTTTAATTAATCCGCAATTATGCAATTAAAAATTTATTAAAACTATTAGTAAGTGTATTCTTTTCCATCCGTGTTTCTTATTCAGTTCACTGAAATTAAAACTGTTCGTAAGGCAAAATTACTTTGAGGTAAATTTTACATTATATTACATGAAAAAAAAGACAAATAACAAATTATGTCTTGCAATGTTTATCTCGTATTTCTTTCACTTTAATGTGTATACAACGTTTAAAATTTTGTTGTCTGTGATATATATCTGTTCTTCAAATGCAAAGTTTTCGTTATCCTTTGTATAGACTATTTTAATGGTATTTTTATCAATTTTAAAAAAATATTATAAAAAGAAAATATAATTAATCGTCCAGTCAAAGAACACTTCAGTATACTAAAATATATAAATTATACAAATTTAAATACTGAATTGTCGTTAGATATATGCATAAGACAACAAAAGCAAAATTCACAGATAATTCTATATTTTGTCTTTAAAAATATTTAAAATAATTTTTCTTCGTGTTGTTTCAAAATTTTGTAATGCAATATACCAATACTTGACGAAATAATTATGCTTCAAGCACAATTGAGAATCTCACAAATTAGTAACATCTTTGTCGTGCAGATCTAAAACGTTGGTTATTGTTAAAAATTTCAAACCTTTTTACTGTTTACGATTAAAAAAACGACGATTACATTAAAATTCACTTATTGTAATAACTTTCGGATCTGCCAAAAAAGCGAGTGACAATAATTGATTTTTGTGCAAACACGATTACTTGTCATGTTTCTGAATACATTACTCAAACAATAAACGAACTCTCCGTAAATAATAGAAATGAATGTTATTGCCATAAATAAATGACTCGTACTTAAACAAGTAAAAATAATTATAAATAACTATCACTTTTTAATCAATTAAATTTGAATTAATTTTACAAACCATCTTTTTTTCGATACATAAAATCAACTGTTTTATGTACAAAATGAAATGTACAAAACTAAGAAAATAAAACTTTAGAAATTTCTTGTTTCATGTTCAATAAAATTGAAAATACGAGTATTAGATATTTTTCAAAGAAATGTACTAAAATCATTTGCACAAAAGTCATTATTCATTACTATTATGATGTTTAATAATATGATAATCTAAAGAAGGCTTAAAACGAAATTTTTGTGAGCAATGGTTACACGAGAATGGTTTCTCTCCGGTGTGAAGACGAAGATGTCGATTCAGATTTCCTTTATGTGCAAAACGTTTCTTGCAATGATTACAAATAAAAGATTTCTCACCGGTGTGAGTCTTGACGTGGTTTTGTAGAATGCTGGAATGGATAAACTGACGATTACAGTATTGGCAAGACAAGAGCCCTTCTCCAGTGTGAATCCTTCGATGATATTTTAACCCATTTTTCGAAACGAATTCTTTCTGGCAACTGCCACATCGATACTTCCCATTTCTTGAGTTCTGATTGTTTAAACCTGTAAAATATAAGAGCATTAAAACTAAAACTCCCTTCAATTTATTGCTAATCGAATATGTAAATATCTAAAATTAATCTCTGATTTTAAAGGATTGTTAAAAAGTGTGTGCAGATAAAAAAATTTTCCTTTTAACAAGTTTCTTTAAACTAAAGTTTAAACCTTACAACTAACTGGACCACATCACATCACACCATAGATCATACATAAACTGCTTACAGCAGTATTCACAAATATTTTCAATCAAAATAACCATACTATCACTAATTAATGTAATTTATACATTTATCTCAAAACAATTTATATGAAGTGTATTTTAAGAAATAACATATTTCGAAATTATTTAAAATATCTTCTTCATTTCATTTTCTGTTTCTCTTCGTTTTCATATTCTTGTATAATTCTTCATTTGTTACTCTTCTCTTTATTGGGTGATAGTGAATCTGAAAATAAAGTTTTCAATAAATTCAAATACGAGAATGACGTCTTACATTATTTTATAAAACAAATTAAATAATTTTAGAAATTCTTTCTTGGACACGCCACAAAATTAAAGCAGGGTTCAAGGTCTGAAAAATAAACGAATTTAAGTTAATTTTCTTAAACAGAAATACATACACATATGAAAAGCATTGATTAATTAATATTACGATATTTAAATTAGTTTTATCCGCTATGTTTAGAAACAAGTAGTTCAGATAATGCTGTGTTTTACGAAGAACCTTTCCTTTTATTTTCATGTTTACACAGCTTTGATTTAAGATTTTAAAATTTTAAAAACAACCATTTCTCACATTTTCTTCAAAATTGTGGTTTTAACAATGCGTAAGAAAAAATGAAAGATGTACTTACGTTTGTGTACATTTAGCCAGGAAACTTCATTCAACAGAAAAACGTAAAGCACTTTCTATACTTGTTAGCACACCCCACAAACCAAACTCTAGGGCCATTCGATAGATCAAAAAATCTTACCTGATAAATCGTCTTCAGCTAGTTACGAAATCTTTCTTTTTTTTCTTTCTAACGTAAATGTCAACGAGATTTTCTTCAGATCAGCACTGTAAATCATTACTTTAATTTCTTGAATGTTAAATTAAAGTGACGCCTATCAAAGGAATGATAAAAGACAAACCCATTTCTGCATTAGATTTACATAAGCTTCCGTTCACTTCGTCATACAGAAGAAAGTACAACAAAATCATAACTCTGTCTTCACATACGCAAAGAATTGTGAGGTATCAACAGAGTTTAAAATGAAACTATCCTCGACTTTTCTCTACACGAAAGACAACGAAAAGACGTCAGTAGTAACGAGCGAAGTGTTGCGTGTTAAAGCTATTTATTCTCGTTTCTTCTTCTCTTTTCATTTCTGATGGAACCGAAGACGACGGCAGAAAAACAAATAGACACGGTTCCTTCGATTTCTTCGCGAAAGATTTGACTCATCAGGAAAGAAGTTAGAATCTATTCAATAATTGAAATATAAATACAGTTTACCACTTTTCTATCTGAATGGGCATTTGCTACTTTTCTCCGTAAATGAACTGTCAATTTTGTGAAAAAAGTAAGTGACACCATCTAATATTTAAATTCCAATTGTTTTCATTTCTGTATTTTTTCGAAATTTACAAATGAAATTCGAAAAATAATATTTTATTCGATTATTATTGAAAATAGATGAATACTTTAAAACTATAATTATTTATAATTATTAATAATGAGGGGTGATTTATTGTGACACGGTCACAATGCCGGGCTGCAGTTTTTAATCATTTAAAATATATGCTCACCTGCAATTAGCAATGTCGATTAGAGTCGTGCCGATTATATATAACTGCTTTCGGGAGAAAACTTTTCAATTGAAATAGAGTGACTTTCGGTTTGCATCGGAATTTCATGAACAGGTAATCGAGACATCCCGCTGCTTCTAACGATTCCATAATTTCTCTCGTCTTTCATCTAACTTCGTTCTGAAGATATAATAATTCAATTAACAAAACATTCAGCATTTAAACTCGTCATGGATTTTTATACATTTTTCGAAATATTTCTGTAGGCGTTTCGAAGAATTCTGACCATTGCAATAAGAACCAACTTGTTCAATTGTCTTCTAATCAATAAATTAAAACAGCCCCCGACAGACTGATTATAAAGTTTTACCTTTGAACGGCCGAGAACTGTTCTTCCATTTCTCCTCGGAACAATTTCCTGCTCCAAAATAAATTAATAACACAAAATATCTCTCGTCTTCGTTCTTGTCTTTTAAATATTGGGTTGTAACGGAAATTTTCTCAAATTTGAATAAGTCCAGCAGCGCCGTCTGTAATTTCAGTTGTAAGAAACTTCCATTTTTGCTGATATTTTTTATCGTAAAATTAAGCGTCAAATTTCCAATGGTATTTTACCCGAATAGAATTTACTAGGAATCATATCACTCATTAATAATTCACTATAAATAAATATTTTCGAATTTTAATATACAGTGCCGCTGGTTAGTTTTTCGACCTGGAGACGGGATTATCATAATGAATATTCAATAATCGTTTATTCTACAAAATTTATTTATAATAAATTATTATTAATATATATTAATTATTATGAAAATTTCCGCTTTGTGAGATTTGTAATATTACATATAATAAATGATTACTTGCTTAGAANATAAGTTCAAATATATAATATGCCAACAATTACCGGATTATATTGGGCTATTATATTGCAATTATTAAATAATATGTCACTAGAACAGTGGTTCTCAACCTTTTTTTCGTCACAGCATACTTTTACTACTTTAAAAATTTTACAGCACACTGACAATAAAATAAATTGTAAAAAATTTTACTTGGTTAATTGAGGGCTGTACAGTACCTATAATATAGAGTATTTTGTAAAAATAGCATACGATAATAATTTTCAATGAAATATAAAATGAAATTGCATTACAAAATAAACAAAATGTTTATTTAATGATAAATTACAAAATTATATTTAATGCGAAATTTTAGCTTGGTGTTTTTTGATAACTTCATTTATATTTGGGCGTAAAAATGATAACTCTACTCTCATTTCGTGATCCAGATTTAAAACACTGAATCTCTTTCTTGTTTTTATGTTGGTCAAAGGAGGAAAATCCAAGTTCGCATAAAAAAGATGTGGAAAATTGTAATTACACACTCAAAGCTTTTTTGTGATATTGTCGGATAATCGTATCTAAGTTTAATCCAGTACGAATTACAGTAGAGCCTCGATTATCCGACCTAATTGGGGACTGGGGTTGATCGGATAATTGAAAGGGCGGATAACCGAAAAGTATGAAAACATCTATTATTAGTGTAGTATATTATTATATCGCATGTAATTAGTATGTTAATATATCGCTATTAACCTACTTTGCGTTGAATTTTCATCGATGTTAAGCCTAACAAAAATTTTTTAAAATAATAATCGTCGCTATTGTATCGTTAAAAATTAGAAAGTTAAGCCTCGTTTTAAGACTGGCTCCCTTTCATGGTCGATGCAGTGTTGCCAGCTAAAACACTTAAAAATAATATTAAAGTAGCCAAGACATAGCCAAATATTGTAGCGCCACATCATTTGAAATTTGCCGACTAGGACGGTCGGTTGATAGGGGGTCGGATAATCGAGGCTCTACTGTAGTTGATTCTTCTGAATGTTTTGAAATTAAATCTCGGTTATTACGCACTGAAATTAGTTCTTCCTCTTCTGTGAAAGTTAACTCATACACTAACGTGTCGTTTATCACCAATGGATTTCGAATCCAATCAAATTTTTTTTATGTTTAAATTTGGAAAGTAATAAACAATTCTTTGCTCAACTATTGTCAAATGATCAATAACTATTTTATGAATTATTTTATAGCAGTCTTTTGGAACTGACTCAAATTTTTCTAAACTATATTCTTGTGCCTTATCCTTCCATAAAGTAATTTTTTTTAAATTTAAATTCCAACAATTTATAGGTGAAGTTTAAAATATTTTCATTCGGTCCTTGCATACTTGTATTTATGTTATTAAAATAAACGAAAATATCAGACAAGTAAGCTAGCTTAGCACACCATACTTTGTCATCCAACAAATCAACAAAATCATTATTATCTTGTTCAAAAATAACTTTATCTCGTCTTTTAATTCAAGCATGAGCGATAACACCTTCCCTCTAAACAACCACCTAACTTCCGTGTGCAATAACAACGATTCGTATTTCGACTCCATAGCATGGCATAGTTGACTAAATAGGTGATTTTGCAATGGTCTTGATTTTATATAATTAATCATTTTAACACGTTGTTCCTGCACTATTTTTAATTCTGATGGTAATTGTTTTGTAACAAGTGTTTCCCGATGCAAAAAACAATGGGTAACTGACATATCTGCATTATGTTTTCTTACATGTGCTAAAATTCCTTTTATAGATCCAGTCATAGCGGGAGCACTGTCTGTGCAAATGCCAATGCACATACTGTATTCCACAAAACATTAATTTCTTGTAAATACGAATTAATAACATTGAAAATATGTTTTCCTGTTGAAAAGTCAGATAATTCACGACAACATAAAAATTGATTAATTATATCATTTTTGTGAATGAATTGAACGAATGCAATTAAGTGTGGTTTTCCCGTAATATCAGTTGTATCGTCGATTTGTAGTGCAAAATTAAAATTTGCAAGAGTTCTACCAGTATTTTTTTCGATATTTCGGGACAAGTCTAAATCCTGCGATGAATTGTGTCATTTGAAAGTGGTAATTTACAAATGTCAGTTTCTGCTGATTCACCAATCATTCTTTTTACAATTTTACGGCAAGCAGGTAATATAATTTTTTCAGCCAAATTATGTGGTTTTAATTTAAGAGCAATTAATTCAGCCACTTTATAAGAAGCTATCTGAACTTCTTCAGAAATTTTTATTTGTTTGGATCTTTGCAGATAATTGCTGAGAATGCAAATCAGACTTTTACATTCTCTGTTTGTATCTATTATAAAAATTTTAATAATATTTACTGAAAATTTGTTTTATCAACTTAAATGAAAACTACTGTAAAATATTTAAAGCGTTTTATTAATTCATAAGCCACGTTTAACTATAACTAAAAGTACATAACAATTACTTGTTAAAAGTGCTATCATTATATGATGATTTAAGAAAACTTTTTATTGTTCTTTCAGTCGTGAAACTAAAGCTACAAAGATAGCGGACATTAATAAATTCAAAACTGTACTTAATCTTTATTATGTTACATAAGTGATGCCTAACAACTATTTCAAAAGATAATAGCTAATTGCAAAACTTTCACATAGTCATAAGTTCAACCCCTCCTTCTGTTGACATTAAAATTATTGATTGTCTTCCACAGTGTGGAAAATGATTAAATTTGATTGTGCTGAAGATTATTTGCGTTAAGTTTTCAAAAGTTTGAGTTTAAAAAATGAGAAAAAATTAAACCTTTTTTTATAAAAACAGAACATGGAAATTAAGAGCAAAGCCATGTTTTTCAAAGACTGCTTGCATTTCCAAATAAATTGGTCACAATCGGACATACGAACACCATAAGTAGCATGTTCTTGCGTTATTGAATCAGAGCAGATTTTCAGATTCGCATATTTTTTATAAAAGAATTTCTTACAACTATTTCAAAAACTATTAATTATAAAATATTTTGCAAAATCTGCGATTATTAAATTATTACAAACTTTAAGAACGCAATACATTGAATAGAAAAGAAGTAAAGAAAAGTAAAGTTAGTTTAAGTAGTAAATAAAAGCAAATTAGTAAAGAAAATCAAAGCACGTATGGCGAAAGACTTTAGTCTTTCGCCATACGTGCTTTGATTTTCTTTACTAATTGTAGTTTCTCTAAATCAACAGTCGGTACTTTAGCGATAATTTTATAAAACAAAGCCATAGAATTAAATGCTGTATGTTTCGATTTGAAATATTATATATCAAAAATTATCATGTCCTTCTCATTTTGTCTACAAATTTCTAAATCGATTTTCTGAGAAATTGCTTCAGATCGGTCTCTAATTTACATAATTTTATTTTTTTCCTCCTCCTATAAATAAATGCTTCAGTTCTTTCGCTCGCTCAATCACCATTATTTGTATCCAGGACTGCGAACTTACATAGTTTAATAACACCTACCTATACGTTATTAGATAAATATGACTAAATACCAATATTAAACTATAAAAATAAAACACAATGAAAATCTTAACGGCTTTAATCTAAAAGCAACGACAAAAACAGCTAGATAATTAATAGAGAAGAAAACAAGAAAGAAAAATCTGCACAGCCAGTTTTCATTAAACCTGATAAAACACAACGAAAAATAGAATATTTCAATATTGTAAACCCGCAGACAAATGTTAGATAACACACATTCTTACTTGAATAAAAAACTATGGAATTTCAAAATTCTCGAATTATGTTAGAGCGAAACCAGAATGTGTGTAGTACAACAAATAACACCAATATTTAAACCATGTTAGAACGAAACCGCCTTCAACAAGTGTCGTATTGCACGAGAAATAACTGGATTTCAGTAGCAAATTATTAAAGGTTTATGTTATCTTCGTGTAATTTAATTCATAAATCTGTTCACAGCTTTGTTTGTTGTTTGAAGCGATTTTCAGTTTTAAGAAGCCGGAGAATATGGAATGTAGTGTACTTGCCATCTAAAATGTAAAGCAAAATTATTATCAAATCTGTNATAAATCTGTTCACAGTTTTCTTTCTTATTTGAAACGGTTTTCAGTTTCAAGAAACCGGAGAAAATAGAATGTAGTGTACTTGCCATCTGAAATATAAAGCAATATCATTATCAAATCTGCTTAGAAAAAGATATTAAAAGAAAAAGTAATGCAACCTTGAAAATTATTTTCTTATCTACAACTAAAACTCCGCCTATTGAAAGTGACAAAGAGACATTTCCAAATCTTTTCATAAAATCCAAAATCTGAAAGTATGAATAGAAAATATAAAATAATTATTTATTAAATGATTATAGATAACATACCTTCATCTTTCTTTTCAGTCCAATATCACATCCTACGAATTGTCTGACGTCTTGAAACGTATTTTCCATCTGCACCAGGAAAAAAAAAAAACAGTATAGAAATATAATAAAAAAACACGTCGATACTGTATGTAGAATATAATTACCGTAAATGCGAGCGAACACAGTAGACATCCAGCTATTACGCAAATACACGTGAATATTATCATAAGTAAAAATAATATATACTTCATGTAATAATGAAATTCCAAAAATAAAAATGCGTAGCAGAAATAACTTGTACACCAAAGGACAAGAAAATAGATAATTACAACTACTAAATTGTACTTGGTATTCAATTGTTGTACGAAAAGCCAAAGCTCTTCGTGATGCAACATTAATTCGTTTAGCTTTTTCTGCAAATCTGAACAGACTCTTTTAATTAAATACAATTCCCGCGACAATTGTTCGAACTCTTGATGAACGATGATGCATATCAAAGCCGATATTAATAAAGTAAAACCGAGTTATCCTATAAGATAACTTATAGCTACGAAAATTTGGATACTACAGAATAGAGCTTCCCCACGAAAAAATTTTTTCTTCTTTTCTATGTAAGGATAAGAAACGAAAATCAGAAAAATCATAAATGAGATAATAACTACTATTATAATTATAGACACAAGCAGAACAATTTTTGTCAATAAGTTATAATTATTCTTCATTTTGCTACGGAAATTCTCGTTCTTTAATGTCTTTATTAATCCTAATTTGGTTCTTTTGATGCATCTGAAAACAATACAATAACTGATAAACAGAGAAGAATATAACAATTTATACAATGTAGGATGAAGAGTTTTCAGTATATCAAATTCTCCGTTGCAAATTGAATATTTATCTAAACCGGGTATTGTTTTCCAAATGAGAAGTATTGCACGCTCCCAAAAAGAAAATTCGATTATTCGAACGTATATATTCATAAATTTTGAAATTTTACATATTTTAATTTTGTTTCGGCAATTGCAAGATTCGAACGGATCTAGCCCAAATATGAGGGCGGTCGTCCAACAAGGACTAAGGAAACAGTTCATACATGTTCCTTTCTGTAAATTTGGGTTCATGTTTATTGTCATCCACGCTTTACGAAGCAAAATGATGCTCTGAATAAAAGGGCTTGTTACATAAAGCCATTATCTCTAGAAGTACCATTATTGAAAATGGGCGATATTTAATATTTATTATATGAGATAATTTCGCCGAATTGAATTAAAAATTAATTAGCTAAGTGCATGCTTTATTCATTGGTAAATAAATTAAACGATGGAGCTAAAAGGCATCGCTGTAATGGTACTAGTAAGTCATTTTAATTCAGGATATGATAGTGTCTCTGTCAGGTGCAATAATAAATCAAGTTTATACGACAATGTGAGCCCAAGCGTTTTGAGGGTGTAAATTTTTGTGTTTAACGTTTCTAACATTAGATGATAAAAAAAAATTATTGCAAGTTCCCACAGAAATAGATTGGTTGCCGAGTCTTACACATCGACAAGATAGGATAAAAGAAAGGCAAGTCATCGCGCGTCTGCTAATCAGTGATCCCTCTTGGGATGCCGTGTGTCATATATGACACACGGCATCCCAAGAGGGATCACTGAAAGAATGAGAAGCAGCTCTGCTTTTTTGTTTGCTAAACAATTATATTTGTTATACATTTTGTCACTAGAGTTTAGTAAAGCTTATTAGACCACATGCATTTCAATGTGACAGAGACAAAGGAAAATATAAGTAATTGTCTGAGCATGTGTTTTTGGAAGTGATCATAAGTATGATTGCTTGATGTCAGTATTTAGTTTTTTCTATTTGTATTGATTATAATTTTACAATTTAAGCATGATTTTGTTCAAGAGACTTCTAAGATTATAAAAGAGTATTTTTAAAAAACTATATTAATAGGAGTATTTCATGAGATGAGCTAACTTTTCAACGTGTCGTATACGACACATTGTGTACATTACAGTGTATGAACTGTTTTCGTATTTGCAAGTTATTTACTTTTATAGATATTTGGTCATTAGACGGCAATATGTATTCTATCATTTATTTTCATTTTTTATTAAACTAATTAATTAATAAAAATAATAATTTATTTTTATTCATCACAAATTTTTGCTGATTTATTTTTGTCTGCTTATTTATTCGGTCTGAAAGCTTTTGTTTATTAAGAACTTATAAATTCTTAATATCATAAATCACATATTTATAATAAATGTCAATGATTTAGTTTTAATTTCTCATTGTCTCATTAAAATAGGAAAGGAACATGATAGGGCACATAATATTGATAGCAATTTGTTTGAACTGAAAGGCTGGTTCAGTGATAAAGACAGTGATAAAACATTTGTTCTTTGAGCAGACTGTCCTAGAGAATGGAAGTCATTAGTCTGCTCAAAAAACATATTAAAAAAGTGTCAAAATCGTTATCACATTCAGACAGTACAGACAATACGACAATAGGAACAATACAAATGACGAAGAAAAAGAAAATCACACAAAAAATACTCCAACTTTGCATCCCAGTGAAATACAAGGCAAAAGTGAAGCGAAACACAAGCCAGAAATCATTGCAAATGGCAAAAATTACCACTGCCCAATGAAAGAATGTAAATGTGTATGAGCAACAGTGTACTGTATCAAATCTGTGCCTTGGGAAAATAAAAATTGTTGCAAAGCATATCATACTTAAATATAAAATGTCAAATAATGTACAAAAACAGTCAAATAAACCATTTTTAAATGAACGAAAAGTTTGCATTTTGTACAGGTCCATTTTGAGAGATCCATTGTGTCATATATGACACATGCCAGTTTTTAATTAATGACCAGAACAAAAAACATTTAGAAAAATGACAATTTACTAATAAGTAACACCTAGAGGTCAAAAGCATAATAAAACTTCAATAAAAAATAGTTTTTTTCGGTAGTGGATCTCAAGATGTTATAAAATAAAATAAGCCAAATTATTCGAATACAAATTAAAGAAAATGAGATTTAAACGTTTTTGTAAAATTTTCATTTTATTAATTAAGCCGAAGGATTGGATTTCGTTTTCAGCCTAACTTTAAATATAAATTAATTAAATTAAGATTTTACTTTTTGCACAAATTTTAACACTTATTTTGAATATTTGATTAATATATTTTATACACGAAAAGAATAACTGAATAAAATAATTAAAGCTTATCATTTCTTCAGTTAATAATATAAAATTAAAATAGATCAGGGCCCATATTCTGGTCGATTATCTCTCGTTTCTTCTTTCATCGACAAATGACGTCAAATCGAAAAACGAAATTCCTCTCTCATACACATTGTCTTTGTAGTTGACGTCACGATTCTATTCGGTTGATTATACATGTTTGGGTTATCTGCGCGCGCAACTCGATATAGGATTTTAATAACCAATGAAATTGTAAAATTTTCGGAAGTGCGGAGTACGTAATCATAGATCACGTGGCAAGGAAAGCATGTGTTCAAATAAAGCACGTAATTTCGACGAATTTGTTATTTGTTTTATAACGTTTTTACAGATTGTAATGTCAATTTGTTTTTTAATTAAATTAACAAATAAAAATTTTAATAACCTAAGTTAGAAAAGTGTGCATACTTGGATATTTTTCGAAATATTACCATCTAATTTCTCCTTAACTATCTAAATAAGATTAACATCATATTCGATAGTTTAATAATTGATGTAGGATAATTAAAAAAAAAATTAAATTAGTGATGTTTCCGAGTAGGCACTGGAAAAAATCGGAAGGATTTTTTCTCCGGAAATATTCTTTCCCGAGTAGAGAACTTTCTCTAATACGATTGTACAGCGCGAGTAGCATCTAGCCGTCCATATTGGATATAACGAAATCCAGGCGAAAGACTGGTCAAAAGACAACTACCCGCTGGTCTGTGATAAACGAGAGAAGCGAAGAAAGAAAAAATTGTTCAGAATCGCATTTAGAAAGACGCGATGATCACTCGAGACGTAGACAAATGATTAGCCAATCAGCGACCGGCTTGTAAGAGACCAGAATACGGCCCAACTTTGCTTACAATACGTTCTATTGGTTCATTGATACGAATTTATTCGTATCAATGAGAACTATATATATATACTGTATATATTTTACATAATGAAAGAAAACTCATAACTTAATGCGGAGCACGCGGTCGTTGTTCAATTTATATTTGTATTTCTTTTCTTTATTTTATTGTATCTTATTTTATTAGTTTGTTTGATTCGGAATTTAATGTACTATTTAAATGGTTTCTATTTTGTTTATTTTGAATTTAGCACAGTTTCAATTAGTTAGTGATTCGATAAAAACAATCGTAAACGAACTAGTGTAAAGTTTCGTATAGCATCAATAACCTAATGATGACCCATTGAGTTGAAAACGTGTTTAACGTAATAGACAGTCTGTCAGTAGTAAGGTGTGTTTCATATACAGTATATATATTTTACTTAATTTTAGAATAATACATTTGAATGTATTTTTAAAATAAAAGTGAATTTTTCTCAACATTAATTTAATTAATTAATATTATTAAACAGAATTATTCCAGGAGGATTGATTTTTTTAAAGTTTTGAATCTGTATGCAAGGAAGACCCTTTCATTACTGCGGAGGCAGATTCGTAACAAAACTCTACGCAGTNTGTATATGACACATTGCATCTCTATGTTACAATAATTACATTACAGTGTATGAACTGTTTTCGTATTTGCAAGTTATTTACTTTTATAGATATTTGGTCATTAGACGGCAATATGTATTCTATCATTTATTTTCATTTTTTATTAAACTAATTAATTAATAAAAATAATAATTTATTTTTATTCATCACAAATTTTTGCTGATTTATTTTTGTCTGCTTATTTATTCGGTCTGAAAGCTTTTGTTTATTAAGAACTTATAAATTCTTAATATCATAAATCACATATTTATAATAAATGTCAATGATTTAGTTTTAATTTCTCATTGTCTCATTAAAATAGGAAAGGAACATGATAGGGCACATAATATTGATAGCAATTTGTTTGAACTGAAAGGCTGGTTCAGTGATAAAGACAGTGATAAAACATTTGTTCTTTGAGCAGACTGTCCTAGAGAATGGAAGTCATTAGTCTGCTCAAAAAACATATTAAAAAAGTGTCAAAATCGTTATCACATTCAGACAGTACAGACAATACGACAATAGGAACAATACAAATGACGAAGAAAAAGAAAATCACACAAAAAATACTCCAACTTTGCATCCCAGTGAAATACAAGGCAAAAGTGAAGCGAAACACAAGCCAGAAATCATTGCAAATGGCAAAAATTACCACTGCCCAATGAAAGAATGTAAATGTGTATGAGCAACAGTGTACTGTATCAAATCTGTGCCTTGGGAAAATAAAAATTGTTGCAAAGCATATCATACTTAAATATAAAATGTCAAATAATGTACAAAAACAGTCAAATAAACCATTTTTAAATGAACGAAAAGTTTGCATTTTGTACAGGTCCATTTTGAGAGATCCATTGTGTCATATATGACACATGCCAGTTTTTAATTAATGACCAGAACAAAAAACATTTAGAAAAATGACAATTTACTAATAAGTAACACCTAGAGGTCAAAAGCATAATAAAACTTCAATAAAAAATAGTTTTTTTCGGTAGTGGATCTCAAGATGTTATAAAATAAAATAAGCCAAATTATTCGAATACAAATTAAAGAAAATGAGATTTAAACGTTTTTGTAAAATTTTCATTTTATTAATTAAGCCGAAGGATTGGATTTCGTTTTCAGCCTAACTTTAAATATAAATTAATTAAATTAAGATTTTACTTTTTGCACAAATTTTAACACTTATTTTGAATATTTGTTTAATATATTTTATACACGAAAAGAATAACTGAATAAAATAATTAAAGCTTATCATTTCTTCAGTTAATAATATAAAATTAAAATAGATCAGGGCCCATATTCTGGTCGATTATCTCTCGTTTCTTCTTTCATCGACAAATGACGTCAAATCGAAAAACGAAATTCCTCTCTCATACACATTGTCTTTGTAGTTGACGTCACGATTCTATTCGGTTGATTATACATGTTTGGGTAATCTGCGCGCGCAACTCGATATAGGATTTTAATAACCAATGAAATTGTAAAATTTTCGGAAGTGCGGAGTACGTAATCATAGATCACGTGGCAAGGAAAGCATGTGTTCAAATAAAGCACGTAATTTCGACGAATTTGTTATTTGTTTTATAACGTTTTTACAGATTGTAATGTCAATTTGTTTTTTAATTAAATTAACAAATAAAAATTTTAATAACCTAAGTTAGAAAAGTGTGCATACTTGGATATTTTTCGAAATATTACCATCTAATTTCTCCTTAACTATCTAAATAAGATTAACATCATATTCGATAGTTTAGTAATTGATGTAGGATAATTAAAAAAAAAATTAAATTAGTGATGTTTCCGAGTAGGCACTGGAAAAAATCGGAAGGATTTTTTCTCCGGAAATATTCTTTCCCGAGTAGAGAACGTTCTCTAATACGATTGTACAGCGCGAGTAGCATCTAGCCGTCCATATTGGATATAACGAAATCCAGGCGAAAGACTGGTCAAAAGACAACTACCCGCTGGTCTGTGATAAACGAGAGAAGCGAAGAAAGAAAAAATTGTTCAGAATCGCGTTTAGAAAGACGCGATGATCACTCGAGACGTAGACAAATGATTAGCCAATCAGCGACCGGCTTGTAAGAGACCAGAATACGGCCCAACTTTGCTTACAATACGTTCTATTGGTTCATTGATACGAATTTATTCGTATCAATGAGAACTATATATATATACTGTATATATTTTACATAATGAAAGAAAACTCATAACTTAATGCGGAGCACGCGGTCGTTGTTCAATTTATATTTGTATTTCTTTTCTTTATTTTATTGTATCTTATTTTATTAGTTTGTTTGATTCGGTATTTAATGTACTATTTAAATGGTTTCTATTTTGTTTATTTTGAATTTAGCACAGTTTCAATTAGTTAGTGATTCGATAAAAACAATCGTAAACGAACTAGTGTAAAGTTTCGTATAGCATCAATAACCTAATGATGACCCATTGAGTTGAAAACGTGTTTAACGTAATAGACAGTCTGTCAGTAGTAAGGTGTGTTTCATATACAGTATATATATTTTACTTAATTTTAGAATAATACATTTGAATGAATTTTTAAAATAAAAGTGAATTTTTCTCAACATTAATTTAATTAATTAACAGTATTAAACAGAATTATTCCAAAACGATTGATTTGTTTAAAGTTTTGGTTCTGTCTGCAAGGAAGACCCTTTCATTACTGCAGAGACAGATTCGTAACAAAATTCTACGCAGTGATGACATAAGTACGTTGGGCAAATCTTCCCCGAAAATTTTCAAAGGTGATCAAGACTCGAACACGAGTCTTTCCGATCGGCGAACTAGCATAATTGATAGTAGTAGTAACTTTGGCGTCGATTAATTTGTCAGTTACGCGATTCGGGTTTAAAAACATCATCAGTTTTTCTTATTCAGTTCAATGAAATTCAAACTCTTCGTAAGGCAAAAATCACTTTAATGTATTATAATGTAAAACTTCTCAAATACAAATGATACCTAAAAAATTATGTCCCGCAATGTTTAACGCTTATTTATTTCACTTTAATGTGTATACAGTGTTTAGAAGTTGGTTGTCTGTGTGATATATGTATTTTTTGAAATAAAAAGTTTTCGTTATTTTTTTAATNGATATTTTTCGAAATATTACCATCTAATTTCTCCTTAACTATCTAAATAAGATTAACATCATATTCGATAGTTTAGTAATTGATGTAGGATAATTAAAAAAAAATTAAATTAGTGATGTTTCCGAGTAGGCAGTGAAAAAAATCGTAAGCATTTTTTCTCCGGAAATATTTTTTTCCGAGTAGAGAACGTTCTCTAATACGGTTGTACAGCGCGAGTAGCATCTAGCAGTCCATATTGGATATAACGAAATCCAGGCGGAAGACGATAGACTGGTCGAAAGACAACTATCCGCTGGTCTGTGATAAACGAGAGAAGCGAAGAAAGAAAAAATTGTTCAGAATCGCGTTTAGAAAGACGCGATGATCACTCTAGACGTAGACAAATAATTAGCCAATCAGCGACCGGCTTGTAAGAGACGACAGACGATGACCAGAATACGGCCCAACTTTGCGTACAATACGTTCTATTGGTCTCATCGATACAAATTTATTCGTATCAATGAGAACTATATATATATATATATTTTACGTAATGAAAGAAAACTCATAACTTAATGCGGAGCACGCGGTCGTTGTTCAATTTATATTTGTATTTCTTTTATTNATGTAAAACTTCTCAAATACAAATGATACCTAAAAAATTATGTCCCGCAATGTTTAACGCTTATTTATTTCACTTTAATGTGTATACAGTGTTTAGAAGTTGGTTGTCTGTGTGATATATGTATTTTTTGAAATAAAAAGTTTTCGTTATTTTTTTAATTTTTTACTGTTTATGATTTCAAAAAGATGACATTTACGGTAAAAATTCACTTATTTTAATGTCTTTCGGATCTGCCAATAAAGACAAGTGGCAATAATTGATCTTCGTGCAAACACAATTACTTGTCATGTTTCTGAATACACTTAATACGCTCTAAATAAATGACACGTATGTAAACAACTAAAAATAACTGTATTAGTTTTTAATCAATGAAATTTGTATTTATTCTAAAAACCATTTTTTTCGGTACATAAATCAATTGTTTTATGCACAAAATGAAAATTACAAAACGAAGAAAATCAGTTTAGAAACGTCTTGTTTCATGTTTAATAAAATCTAAAATACGAGTATTACATATTTTTTGAAGAAATGTACTAAAATCATTCCCATAAAAGTCATTATTCATTACTATTATGATGTTTAATAATATGATACTTTAAAGAACATTTTAAACGAAATTTTTCTGAGCAATGATTACACGAGAATGGTTTCTCTCCGGTGTGAAGACGAAGATGTTCTATCAGATGATGTTTTTGCGTAAAACTTCGGTTGCAATGGTCGCAAGAGAATGGCTTTTCCCCTGTGTGGGTTCGAACATGTCGAATGAGAGTTCCTTTTTGTGTAAAACGTTGTTTGCAATGATCACAGGCAAAGGGTTTCTCTCCGGTGTGAATCTTGATGTGTTCACGTAGATGGCGGGATTGGGCGAACTGACGATTGCAGTATTGGCAAGACAAGAGCCCTTCTCCAGTGTGAATCCTTCGATGATATTTTAACCCATTTTTCGAAGTGAATTTTTTCTGGCAACTGCCACATCGATACTTCCCATTTATTGACTTCTGATTGTTTAATCCTGTAAAATATGATAAGATCATTAAAACCGAAACTCCCTTGAATTTATTGCTAATCGAATATGTAAATATCTAAAGTTTATCGCTGATTTTAAAGTACTGTTAGTGTGTGTGCAGATAAAAAAAGAATTTTCTTTCTAGGAAGATTCTTTAAACGAAAATTGATACCTTACAACTAACTGGACCACCCCACATAAAACAACAAATCATACGTAAACTGCTTACACCAGTATTTGCAAATATTTCCAAGCTACCACAAATTAATGTAATTTATACATTTATCTCAAAACAATTTATATGAAATGTATTTTAACAAATAACATATTTGAAAATTATTTAAAATATCTTCTTCATTTCATTTTCNGAAGAAAAACCTCTGTTATGCTGTTTATGCGAATAGCTACACTGTTTAGGTTTATTATAATAAAGTGTCTTAACGGATGTTTTTAATGTTGCCGGGAAAGTTAAAGATTTAGTTTTGTCTTCTAGCCAGTGTTTTACTGTTACTTCTGAGTTGGACTGTACAAAGAATTAAAGAATAGACTCGAAAGAATGAAAAAATTATTATTTTTTTATGTAAGCCTTTTAATGCTTCAAATGAAGAAAAATCTCTGTTATGCTGTTTATGCGAATAGCTACACAGGTTAGGTTTTTTTATGATAAAGTAACTTAACGGATGGCGCTACACACGCTGTTTTTAATGTTGCCGGGAAAGTTAATCAACTCGTTTCTGAATTATTTAAATTATTTTTACGTTAGAAATTTATATATATCTTACTTAATTCAGATTAAATTAAGACAATACGAATATTGTCTAAATTGATGACTAAAAGTACTAATTTCACAATACTCGTTTCTTTCTTTTGCAGAATGGATAATTTTAAAGAATTGAGAAAGTGACTCATCTCAGAAGTCGAAATTGATCTTTGAATGTAGCCGTAAGCCTAAGAAGCCTCGAGAAAAACGGTTTACTTCTAAAAAAATAAATCTTTTCTCTGCCGTGGTTATCTTCATGTTTCATCTTTGTCTTCACCATACAAAGACTCATTTTTTCATTCCGATTAAATGAAAGTTTATAGAACAACCATTTTGTGACGTCTACCGTCGACAAAGTGACAACAAAAAACACAGACAGTGTTTTTCGAGTTTAAAATTATTGTATTTGATTTATGTAACTAAAAAGATTATCTTACGCAAAGGTTTATCACATTCGATGTTTAGTCTAACATATTTATAAAATTTCTAAATTTGTACCCAATTTAAAGAATTTTTTAAATGTTTAGGTTGGGCACTCGGTGTGATAAACTCTTACGTACAGTACCTTTGTACTTTTGTAAATATAAGCCAAATGATATAATATGATATAGTGAGAGCCGAATTTGTTATCAGAAAAAATTTATGAAAACCTTTATTATGAATTATTATAAAATTCTTGTTGTTTAACCCAAGATAATTGTTACTTCAAAAAAGTACTGCTTAATACGGCGATAAACTGTTTCACACGGACTTAGTTTCTTGTTGGGAGTTACATATTCTAATTTTGTTTCGGCAAATGCAAGAGTCAAACGGATCTATCTGAAATATGAGGGAAGTCGTCCAACAAGGAATAAGGAAACAGTTCATACATGTTCCTTCTTGTAAATTTGGGTTCATTTTTACTCTGTATTCACGCCTCAGGAAGTAAAATGATGCTATGATTAGAAGTGCATGTTACATAAAGCCATTATCTCTGGAAATACCACAAATTCTTTATTGAACTTGGGTGATATTAAATTTTTATTTTGAGATAATATCGCGAAATTGATATAAAAATTAATTAGTTAAGTGCAGGTTTTATTGATTGGTCAATAAATTAAACGCTGGAGTTAAAAGATAGCACTGTAATGGCACGAATAAGACCTTTTAATTCAGGAAGTCGTAATGTATCTGTCAGATGCAAAAATAAATACAATTTAAAAATAAAATAATAAATAAAATAACAATCACACGACATCTTCCATGTTTAATGTTGTTATAGTAGAAAAATAAAACAGAGAAATTTATTGTCAAAAAAACCAGACATTTCAACAGTAATTTTTGTTAAAAATCACTGTTGAAATGTCTGTGTTGATTCATTAGAAAAAAAAGAAGGAAACAGCATGGAAAAACCATGCAGCACTGTGCAGAATTTTGTTTTCATTTGTGTGGGTGATGTTTCGGGTGTCATATCACATTTAATACAGAAAAGTCTAGAAACATTAAACCTTAATAAAAACATATACCTGGCACTACAGAAAGCTTCAATTATTTCGATTTGTATATCAATTAATATGTTTAATTAGGTCAAAGGTTTAGAAATTTGGCACAATTGCTTGAATACGAAGGGAATTCAATTGTTCAATTTTGATGGATGTTGGTCGAAAGAGTGAGTACATAAAGGAGTTTTATTCGTCATATTACATGAAAAGAAAGACTTTATGATTTTAAATTTTCCTCTGGTTATATTCTTATCATCATCATAAAGATGTTTCGCATCAAATATAAAACGTTTCCTCGAAAAAACTAAGTATAAATTGAAAATAGCGAAATTCAGCGTCTATCCAGAATTAAAAAACCAAATGAAACATAAGAAAAATGACCTCAAATAAAAATGACACATAATAAATTATGTCCCGTAATGTTAAATTCGTATTTATTTAACTTTAATGTGTATACAACGTTTAGAAGTTAACGGTCTGTGTGATATATCTCTTTTTGAAATGAAAAGTTTTCGTTATTAAACTTTTTTACTGTTTATGATTTTAAAAAACGCCGTTTACAGTAAAATTCCCTTATTGCAATAACTTTCGGATGCACCAATAAAGCGAGTGAGAATAATCGACCTTTGTGTGAACACGATTACTTGTTATGTTTCTGAATACACTTATTCTAACAATAAACGAACTCTCCGAAAATAATAGAAATAAATGTTATCGCCCTAAATAAACGACTCGTACTTAAACAAGTAAAAATAATTATGAATAACTATTACTTTTTAATCAATGAAATTTGTATTCATTCTAAAAAAATCCTTTTTTGGTACATAAAATCAATTGTTTTATGTACATAAAATCAATTGTTTTATGTACAAAATGACAGTTACAAAACCAAGAAAATCAAACTTTAGAAATTTCTTGTTTCATGTTCAATAAAATCTAAAATACGAGTATTACATATTTTCGGAAGAAATGTACTAAAATCATTTGCACAAAAGTCATTATTCATTACTATTATGATGTTTAATAATGTGATAATCTAAAGAAGGCTTAAAACGAAATTTTTCTGAGCAATGATTACACGAGAATGGCTTCTCTCCGGTGTGAAGACGAAGATGTCCTATCAGATAATCTTTTCGTGCAAAACTTCGTTTGCAATGGTCGCAAGAGAATGGCTTCTCCCCCGTGTGAGTTCGATGATGATGAATCAGATTTCCTTCTAGTGTAAAACGTTGTTTGCAATGATCACAAACAAAGAGTTTCTCTCCAGTGTGAATCCTTTGATGATATTTTAAACCATTTTTCGAAACGAATTCTTTCTCGCAACTGCCACATCGATACTTCCCATTTCTTGACTTCTGATTGTTTAAACCTGTAAAATATCATAAGAGTATTAAAACCGAAACTCCCTTTCAGTTTATTGCTAATCAAATATGTAAATATCTAAAATTAATCTCTGATTTTAAAGGATTGTTAAAGTGTCTGTGCAGATAAAAAAAAAAATTTCCTTTTGACAAGTTTCTTTACACTAAAGTTTAAACCTTACAACTAACTAGACCAGATCACCTCACACCATAGATCATACATAAACTGTTTGAAAATATTTGCAAATACTGACGTAGTCAGTATAAACATACTATCACAAAAAAATGTAATTTATACATTTATCTCAAAACAATTTATATGAAGTGTATTTTAACAAATAACATATTTGAAAATTATTTAAAATATTTTCATTTCATTTTCTGTTTCTCTTCATTTCCTTGACATATATTTTTCCTTTTTCATATTCTTGTACAATTCTTCATTTGTTTCTCTTCTTTTTATTGCTTAATAGCGAATCTGAAAATAAAGTTTTTAATGAAATCAGATACGAGAGTGACGTCATACATTATTTTATAAAACAAGTTAAATATTTCAAATTAAATAATTTTAGAAATTGTTTTATGCAAACGTCGCGCCACAAAATTAAAGATGATTTCAAGATCTGAAAAATAAACGTTTATAAGTTAATTTTCTTAAACAGGAATACATATACATGTGAAAGGCATTAATTACTTATTAATAGGATATTTAAAATAGTTTTGTCTGCTATGTTTAAAAACAAGTAGTTCAGATAATACTGTATTTTACAAAGATCATTTCCTTTTGTATTCATATTTCACAGCTTTGATTGAAAAACTTGAAATTTTAAAAACAACTGTTTCTAACCTTTTTCTAATCATTGTGGTTTTGACAATGCGTAAGAAAAAATGAAAAATGTACTTACGTTTGTTTACACTGTCAAGAAACTTCATTCAACAAAAAAACGTAAAGCACTTTCAATACTTGTTAGCACATTCCACAAACCAAACTCTAGGGCCATTCGATAGATAAAGAAATGTTACCTGAGAAATCGTCTTCAGCGACTTAAGAAATCTTCCTTTTTTTTCTTTCCAACGTAATCGTGAACGAGATTTTCTTCAGATCAGCACTACAAATCATTATTTTAATTTCCTGAATGTTGAAATAAAGTGACGACTATCAAAGAAATGATAAAAGACAACCTGATTTCTCCATGAGAATTTCATAAACTTCCGTTCACTTTGTCGTACGGAAAAAGTACAACAGTATCGTCACTCTGTGTTCCAATACGCAAAGAATTGTGAGGTACCAGTAATATATCAGTAAGAGTGTAAAATAAATGTATCCTCGACTTTTCTCAACTGGAAAGCCAACAGAAAGACGTGAGAAATAACGAGCGAAGTGTTGCGTGTTAAAGCTATTCATTGTCGTTTCTTCTCTTTTCAGTTCTGTAGGAACCGAAGACGACTGCAGAAAAACAATTAGACATGATTACTTCGATTTCTTCGTGAAAGATTTGACTCAACAGGGCAGAAGTTAGAATCCATTCAATAATTAAAAATATAAATACAGTCTACAACTTCTCTATCTGTGTAAATGAACTGCCAATTTTGTGGGATAAATAAGTGGCACCATCTAATATTTAAATTCCAATTGTTTTCACTTCTGTATTTTTCAAAATTTACAAATGAAATTCGAAAAATAACATTTCATTCGAATATTATTGAAAAGGGATGAACACTTTTAAACTATTATTATTTAAAATTATTAATAATCAGGATTGATTTATTGTGACACGATCACAATGCCGGGCTGCAGTTTTTAATCGTATTGATAATTTACTTCATTTAAAATATACGCTCACCTGCAATTAGCAGTGCCGTCGTACGTCATTCTTTTCTTTTAACAATAGAGTCGTGCCGATCATCTATAACTGCTTTCGGGGGAAGACTTTTGAATCGAAATAACGTGACTTCCGGTTTGCAGCGGAATTTCATGTACAGGTAATCCTTAGAGGCATCCTCCTGCCTCTAAGGATTCCATATATGCTGTCGTCTTTCATCTAACTCCGTTCTGGATAGTAAGAACTTTATACTGAAATATCCAGAAGTCATCAAAATAATCTGTAAAATAAGAATTCAGTTAAGAAAACACTCTGCATTTAAACCCGTTATGAATTTTTATAAACTTTTGGAAATATTTCTGTAGGCGTATCAAAGAATTCTCTATTGCAACAACCAACTTGTTCCATTGTCTTTTAATCAATAATTAAAACAGCGCCCCGACGGACTAAGTATAAAGTTTTACCTTTGAATGGCCGAGAACTTTTCTTTTATTTCTCCTTGGAACAATTTCCTAGTCGAAAATAAATTAATAACACAAAATATCTCCCGTCTTCTTTCTCGTCGTTTGCTCAAACGTCTCTTAACGATTGGGTTGTAACGAAATATTTTTCAAATTTGAATAATCCCAGTAGCGCAGTCTGTAATTCCAGTTGTAAGAAATTTCCATTTTTGCCGATATTTTTTATCTTAAAATTAAACATCAAATTTTCAATGATATTTTACTTTAATAGAATTTACTAGGAATCATATCTGATTAAAAATTTACTATAAATAAATATTTTCGAATGTTAATATACATTGCCGCTGGTTAGTTTTTCGATCTATCGTAATAAATATTCACTAATCGTTTATTTTTCAAAAACATCTTATTTATATTAGACTATTATTAATTATTATGAAAATTTCTGTTTTGTGAGATTTGTAATTTATACTAATATTATAAAGAGGTAATGCTTGGAAGTTTGGGTGTAGCGGGTAATCTCCGAAACTAATCATCCGATTTCAAAAATTCTTTCACCAATATTTAGAATGAAACTTCAGGGTGGACATAATCTGTATATTGTCCATTAAGCATTCATTTAAATTAAAAGATATCATCTAGGGTTAAGACTTTATGTCCAACAGATGGCGCTACGAGTACGACGACCTAAGTTTACTTTTCTGTGAGGATGAACTAAAGCAGATCATCNGTTCAATAAAATCTAAAATACGAGTATTACATATTTTCGGAAGAAATGTACTAAAATCATTTCCACAAAAGTCATTATTCATTACTATTATGATGTTTAATAATATGATAGTTTAAAGAACGTTTAAAACGAAATTTTTCTGAGCAATGATTACACGAAAACGGTTTCTCTCCGGTGTGAAGACGAAGATGTCTTATCAGATGATGTTTTAGTGTGAAACTTCGTTTGCAATGGTTGCAAGAGAATGGCTTCTCTCCCGTGTGAGTTCGGAGATGTCGAATCAGATTTATTTTTTGTGTAAAACGTTGTTTGCAATGATCACAGGCAAAGAGTTTCTCTCCAGTGTGAATCCTTCGATGAAATTTTAACCCATTTTTCGAAACGAATTCTTTCTGGCAACTGCCACATAGATACTTCCCATTTCTTGACTTCTGATTGTTTAAACCTGTAAAATATCATAAGAGTATTAAAATCGAAACTCCCTTCAATTTATTGCTAATCGAATATGTAAATATCTAAAATTAATCTCTGATTTTAAAGAATTGTTAAAGTGTCTGCGCAGATGATAAAAAATTTCCTTTTAACAAGTTTCTTTACACTAAAGTTTAAACCTTACAACTAACTAGACGACATAACCTCACACCATAGATCATACATAAACTGTTTGAAAATATTTGCAAGTACTGGTGTAATCGGTATAAACATCACAAATAAATGTAATTTATACATTTATCTTAAAACAATTTATATGAAGTGTATTTTAACAAATAACATATTTGGAAATTATTTAAAATATCTTCTTCATTTCATTTTGTGTTTTTTTTTTTTTTTTTCATTTCCTTCACATATATTCTTCCTTTTTCATATCGTTGTATAATACTTCATTTGTTTCTCTTCTTTTTATTGCTTAATAGCGAATCTGAAAATAAAGTTTTGAATGAAATCAGATACGAGAGTGACGTCATACATTATTTTATAAAACAAGTTAAATATTTCAAATTAAATAATTTTAGAAATTGTTTTATGCAAACGTCGCGCCACAAAATTAAAGCTGAGTTCAAGATCTGAAAAATAAACGTTTTTAAGTTAATTTTCTTAAACAGGAATACATATACATGTGAAATGCATTAATTAATTATTAATAGGATATTTAAAATAGTTTTGTCTGCTATGTTTAAAAACAAGTAGTTCAGATAATACTGTACTTTACAAAGATCCTTTCCTTTTATTTTTATATTTCACAGCTTTGATTGAAAAACTTGAAATTTGAAAAATAACCATTTCTAACCTTTTTCTAATTATTGTGGTTTTAACAATGCGTAAGAAAAAAATGAAAGATGTACTTACGTTTGTTTACAATAAGTCAAGAAACTTCATTCAACAAAAAAACGTAAAGCACTTTCAATACTTCTTAGCACATTTCACAAGCCAAACTCTAGGGCCATTCGATATATCAAGAAATGTCACCTGAGAAATCGTCTTTATCTTAGGAAATCTTCGTTTTTTTTCTTTCTAACGTAATCGTCAACGAGATTTTCTTCAGATCAGCACTATAAATCATTACTTTAATTTCTTGAATGTTAAAATAAAGTGATGACTATCAAAGAAATGATAAAAGACAAATCCATTTCTGCATGAGAATTCCATAAGCTTTTGTTCACTTCGTCATACAGAAGAAAGTACAACAGAATCATCACTGTCTTTAAATACTCAAAGAATTGTAAGGTATCAACTGAGTAAAAATAAAACTATCCTCGACTTTTTTCTACACGAAAGACAATGAAAAGACGTCAGTAGTAACAAGCGAAGTGTTGCGTGTTAAAAGTATTTATTGTTGTTTATTCTTCTCTTTTCAGTTCTGACAGAACCAAAGACGGCACGTAAACAAATAGACACGATTCCTACGTGAAAGATTTGATTCATCAGGAAAGAAGTAAGAATCCATTCAATAATTAAAATATAAATACAGTTTACCACTTCTCTATCTGAATGGGCATTTGCTTCTTTTCTCTGTATAAGACCTATCAATTTTGTGAAAAAAATAAATGGCACAGTCTAATATTTAAATTCCAATTGTTTTCATTTCTGTATTTTTTCGAAATTTACAAATGAAATTCGAAAAATAATATTTCATTCGAATATTATTGAAAAGGGATGAACACTTTTAAACTATAATTATTTAAAAATATTAATAGTGAGGGTTGATTTATTATGACACGATCACAATGCCGGGCTGCAGTTTTTAATCGTATTGATAATTTACTACATTTAAAATATATGCTCACCTGCAATTAGCAGTGCCCCCGTACATCATTTTTTTCTTTTAACAATAGAGTCGTGCCGATTATCTACCGTGTTTCCCCGAAAATAAGACATTCGCAGAAAATAAGACCTAGCACAGATTTTGCTGAATTGCGAAATATAAGACCTCCCCTGAAAGTAAGTCCTAGTGAAGTTTTTTTTTTTTAGTCGTAACGGTCATCGACCGATGGTTGAAAGTGGCCGTTGGCTTTTTGAAAGTACAGCCACTGATTGGTCAGCAGACAATTACGCCACGCGGCATGATTTGCATAAGACTATAGCTTGGTAATCACAGATTTGCATAACGTTACGGCTGGTGATGGCTAATTGGTCAGAGGGGAATCACGCCACATGACATTTGCATTGTGCTACGGTTCAGTAAGCACTAATTGAGCATCGAGTCCGATGTTGACGCTATAAAAAGGCGACAGTTGGACACACCGGATATACGTCATTCTCGTCTAAGTTCGACTTGGGAATTTTTTTGTTCAATAATAAATGTGAATTCTTCTTCCTGGAAAAAATAAGACATTCCCTGAGACATAGCGCGTTTTTCAGAGCAAAAATTAATATAAGACACTGTCTTATTTTCGGGGAAACACGGGTATAACTGCTTTCGGGAGAAAACTTTTCAATCGAAATAGTGTAACTTCCGGTTTGCAGCGAAATTTCATGAACAGGTAATCGAGGCATTCCGCTGCTTCTGATACCATAATTGCTCTCTTCTTTCATCTAACTCCGTTCTGGAGATATAATAATACAATTAATAAAACACTCCGCATTTAAACCCGTTATAGATTTTTATAAATTTTTCGAAATATTTCTGTAGTCGTATCAAAGAATTTTGACCATTGCAATAATAACCAACTTGTTCCATTGCCTTTTAATCAATAAATAAAAACAGCGCCCGACAGACTGATTATAAAGTTTTACCTTTGAATAGCCGAAAACTTTTTCCGTTTCTCCTCGGAACAATTTCCTACTCGAAAATAAACACAAAATATCTCTCGTCTTCTTTCTTGTCGTTTACTCAAACGTCTGTTAACGATTAGGTTGTAACGGACCATTTTTGAAATTTGAATAAATCCAGTGGCGCCGTCTGTAATTTCAGATGTAAAAAAACTTTTATTTTTGCCGATAATTTTTATCTTAAAATTAAGTGTCATATTTTCAATGCTGTTTTACTTCAATTCTATTTGCTAGGAATAATATCTAATTAAAACTTTACTATAAATAAATACAGTGAGTGATCGGTTAACGATCATTTCGGATAGCGAACAAATCGGAAAACGAACACTATCGGGAAAGATTTTTATGATCGGACAACGAACACATGTTCGGATAACGAACTCTTTACTGCACAAACATAAAAAGAAGCGACGGAAAATAAGGAATACCGATTGATTTTCCTTTGTGTTCGGGTAACAATTCGAAACCATTCGGAGCGCGAGAGACGTCAGCATCGACGCTCAATTCGATACCGATCGGACAGTATCCCTCCGAATTTTGAAACTCTCCCTTGTAATTCCAGCTTTTTGTTTACCTTTCTGACAAATAATTTTTTATAGTCTTCTCGAGACTGTCGGACGGGCACTTGTTAAGTTTTGCGTCAGGGTTTATTTACGAAAGGCGAAATTTTATCCCATCGGATATTCGTTAACGTTTTAATACCAAATTTCGAATTTAATCAGGTCCTTGCATTTAAATAACGTTTTGTGGGTTAGTTGATTTCTGTTCTCTGAAATTTTGTAAGTGCTTTTCTGAACTTCATAATATTATCATTTTTTAAAAAATATATAGCCTAAAAAACGAGTGTCAAAACCTGTGCTCACCGTAGAAACCATATAAGAGATAATAGCCAAGGTAGAAAGTGAACACAAGATGCCTGATGTTGCTAGGTATTATGGCTTGAACTGGTCTACAGTAGGCACAATCTTAGCTATGAAAGATATATCAAGAAATCTGGTAGCTGGTAATGGAATAATGAAAATCACATCTGAGAAATATAAGCATTTTAAAGCTCAATGACTGCTGAGCCTAAAACTGATCTGACGACAGAAGAACTCTGAGAACTCTCAAATGAAGAATACCAAGAAACTTAGCGAGATGTGTTTTCTTTTCAAAAAGAGGAAGGCGAAAGAGGACCAATGTCGACATCTGCTACTTCAGATCTTTTGAAAAAGTTGTAGGATGTCTAAACAACGATCATCCAAATGGCATCCAAACCAGAATAGGGTTAATGAGGTTGGGATCTCTACAATTACGATACTATTAATTACTTCTGAAAAAAAGAGAAAAGCAATCGACATTGGACACATTCTTTAAACCCCACAAATGGAAAAAACATGACTAACAAAAATGCAAAACTGCATATATATTTGTTTTTACTATTACATATAAATAAACGTAGTAAAAAAGTATGTATTTTTTTTATTTTTTGGAGTCTCCGGAACGAATTAATCAAATTCCCATAAAAACATTTGGTAAATCGATAATTGGTTAACGAACAATTCGGATAACGAACAAAGTCATGGAACGGATTATGTTCGTTATCCGATCAACCATTGTATTTTCGAATGTTAATATACAGTGCCGCTGGTTAATTTTTTGACCTGACAACTGGTTTATCATAATAAACATTCAATAACCGTTTATTCTAGAAAATTCATTTATATTAATCAAATTATTATTAATATTTATTAATCATTATGAAATTTTCTTCTGTGTGAGATTTCTAATATTACATATAATAAATGATTATAATAAATGATTACTTGCTTAGAAGCCAACAGAAAATAATTTTTTTTTATAAATTCATACATTTTTATATAAATAATACTATTTGCTGCATATACTATCAGAATAAATAAAGTAGAAGTAGATATCTTTTTTAAAAAAACATATCATACTTGTTAAATATAACTGATGAATTATTACACGAATATTTTGTATTTGAATAACATCAATTTTCTAGTGAAATGTGTCAGAACAGTTAAGTGCATTACTTTATTTTCTTTATATTGAAGTTAAATATACATAAAAATAACACATTACAATATTATAAAGCATATAATTATGGCGCTTGTACTTAAAAGTTTTAGTGACCGTATATATTTCATTTACATCTAAAATTAGTGTGTACCAGTGTGTAAAGACAGTACTTATCAAGTGCAAATTAAAGACAGTAAATAAATAAAAATGGTTACACATTTCATTTCTTATATGCATTTTTATGTAGCACTAAAAGTGTTCTTTTATATTCATAAATTTATACATTTTTTGTTTTCATCTAAAAACATTAACAAATTATTTATTTTCAAGAAAAATATTATAGTTGTTGTTAAGTTACAGAAATTAAATAATAATTGTATTTATTATACTTGAATATATATACAAAAGATAATAAGTGATTTAAAGTGTTGTGAAAACCGTACATTAATTATCTGCTTTTATTAAGATATAACAACGCAGCACTTAGACGATCTGCTTAAAAGGGTGCCTTCCGGGAGGTCTTTTTAAGGGTAGCTGGCCCCTATTCAGGCGTTACAGACGTGGAGAAAACCCGGAAAACTCCATGTAGCCAGCCCGTCCTGGGGTGGGGGCGCGACCGAACTTCTAGTCTTTAGGGAACAGAACCGCTTGACCACTGTTGGGCCGTAAATTAATTAAGATTAAATTTACAATATTAAAGTAGTATTTTTGTCTGTGATTTTAATAAAAACTTCTGCACATTTCTTTTCTTTTTCCATCACTCCTGTTAAATCGAGGATTGTGGAAAATATAGAATACAATCCGCTGACCATCTGCAAAGAATTCACAATTGACAAATGCAAGTACACAGCTCAAAAATTAAGTAAAGGTTTCACATACCTTGATAAAAAAGTCTTCTTTTATATAGAAGAAACCGCCAATAGAAATGGCCAAAGGAATTTTTCCAAATCTTTTCATAAAATCGTTCAGCTAAATTTGAAAAGTCACTTTATATATTCATAATTTTCAATTTTTTTTCAAATATTCAAAAATATTCTGACAGATTAATTGTGGTGAAAATTAAAAATTGAATTTTATTCGATTTTCAATTTCATTTTCTTTGTAAGCATATTATTCTTAAAAAGATTACGTGAAGAGAAAGTTCCGACTATATTTCGCGATCCGAATCCAACACAATCGGTGGTAGTGGAAAAAAAGATCCTTTGCCGCCCTCACCATTTAACAGAAAAAATCTCAACGTTCGTTTTTAGCGCTTTTCCTGAATCTTACAAATAAAATTTATAATTTTTAGAAAGCCTAATAGTAATTTATTTATTGTAATTAATGCACTAGTGTTATTGTATAATTCCGTTTATACAAATGTGATGTAACAGAAATTGAAGACATCTTCCATAAATTATTTTCTTCAATATATTGTAAACTTTATAAAAATATATACTAAATCGATTACTAATTCTAAAATACAATTTACACTTACCTTCAGTTTGAACTCTAATGGTAGATCTACGGATGAAAGTTTGTATATGGACACAAAATCATCATAGAGCTGTAACAAAAATATCACATTCATTTTTAAACAACACATATTTTTTTAATTTCACTTCATTATATGCTTTATAACAATTCGAACTGTTCAGCATTAAAATACAGTGGTTACCTTCGAACTTTATGGTAAAAATATTTATTTTTATATTTATGAAATGAAAAATATAAACCTATTTTTGTTATGAGGTTAATACTTACCGACGACACAAATGTTGACAACACTTTACTTATCGCAAGACAACCTGCCAGAAAACCAAAACAAAGAATCGTCAGAAAAAATTTGTAATCAGGATCTACAGTCACGAATATCACAGCGTATAAGATAACACAGGTGAAGTGCATAAAAAATCCATATATTAACGGTGTTAGCATTTCCCATTCTACATTCGCATGTTCTATAAGAGCCCGTATTTCTACGTGTTTGTTGATAAATTTGTCTAACTTATTTTTCAAGTCTGTATTTTTCGATTTCAGATTTGCAAGCTCTTCAGAAAGTTTCGTTAGTCTGTTCATTACGACAAGACCTAGACAGCAAAGAACAGAGATTAATGATATAATGTGTGCCGAAACATAAATATATACAAATGTAATGCTAACAGAACAAACGAATGCTTCGCTGTTTGAACCATTCTGTCTTTTAACTTCTAAGTAGACGACAATCTCTGAGAGAATCGAAATACATAAAAAATCCAAAAATAAAAATATGAATAAACAAATTTGTAAGAGTTGCATCTTATCAATTACTTTATATTCTTCCTTGTACCAGCTTCGAATACAGTGCAAATATAATTTTTTTCTTTTTAAAATACTGAACTGTGCCGCTGCATAGAGGATTAGTGCCGTGTTTACTACTGCACCATGCACTGCGTAATCCTTTAAATAATGCACGATTCGTAAGCAATAAAAGTCTAAATTAAATATCCAGTAAATGTAAACAACAGCAATTGTCCATAGTACCAATTCGATAGTATGACAATATATTTTGAATAATTTTGAAAGTTTTGTTCTTTCATTTCCTCTTCTTTGTAACATGCAATGACACGGAACTACGAAATCCATTCCAAATATTTTTGCCGAATCTAAAATAGGACGTATCATGACACCAAGACATATGTTTTGTTGATCGGGAAAATTCATTTTCGAACTACACATGTACAATTATAATCTGTATTGTTATGGTGTACGTTGTCTGCTTTACTCTTCTCTCCAGTTTCTCAACTACAATCAAATATATTTAACGAATGCATTAATATACATTGCTATGGATTTATATTTACATTATCCGTTATATAAATTTAATAATGTTCAGAAGAATTATTTCTCTTGTTTGAGTAAATAAATGGAACGAGTAAAAGTAAATAGAGCAGTTGAATACAAAGATCGATAAGCATATTTCTACGTTAATGGAAGCATGTTAGACATAGATTTATTGTAGAAAACGTCTAGTTATATAAAGACTACTAAGAGTATGAGATCAGCTTTGATATTTAATTCTGCGGTAAATCTGAAATTGAAATACATTAAACACGATAGCTTTATCGAAGCGCGAGATGCGACTCGCGATTGCGTGCGGTTGATTTCGGTCGATTATTTCTATAGAAGAATTATATTTAGAAGTATAATTTTACGGACATCTTTGCTTTTATCGAGATGCTTTACAGTTTTGATGGTCCACAACCTGCAACCTGTTACCTGGTTCACATCTTCAATATGTTAATTCAAACGACTTACCTGTTATGTTTGAATAGAATGTATTAATATTAATTAATAAATTATCATATTAAAGTTTTCTGAAAATATAGATCTAGTAAAGAAAGACAACTAAAATCATCGTTGGTAGACTAATAGAACTAAACAAACGGATGCACATTTATAGGTTAATGAAAGAATACCACTTCATTAGCGCGCNAAATAAGAATAAAACAACACTTAGGAATGAAAAATGAAAGATAAATTTAAAATTAAGTAAATTATCACATCTTTTAAATAACAAGGTTATAAATCCATTTTATAATAACTAATTTCGTTTGTAAATAAATTTAGAATAAAAATATCAAATCGAATAAATATTTGACTTAAGAATTCAGTCAAATCAAAAGATAAAATGAATTATCATTGTAAATAACTATTTTGATATAAATCGCAAAGTCAACAATTTACAATAAATTCGATGAATGACATGATTAATCAATAAGCCAACTCTATATACATATGCACAGATAAAATGGAGAACAAAAATGACAGCAGTGTTTTAAAGAGTGGCGTCGCTATTTCGGAGTAATAACATGGCGAACTCTTTATAAGACAGAAAACAGAAGACAGAAAATAAGGCTATAACTCAGTAATTTGTTATGCGCTTTTAACGAAACTTGTTTTATTTAACTTCTATTTTCATTTGGTGTGTACGATTTTTACACAAGCAAATGACAGTAATAAAAATTAATTCTAAATACTTAAAATGACATTAATTTTTTTCGCCCCGAATTTTTATTTAAATATGTGCTAGATTATTTCCGTTTCGCCAACTAAGTATAGAATGTGGCTGAAACTTAATAAACGGTTTAGAAAAAACATGGCGGCACTGTACATATGACCAAAGTCGATAGAAATACAGGTGCTGCTGCTGCCAACAGATTCAATGCTACGATACTGGAACAATATATATTGGACGTGGCTATTTATACATACAGTATGTATACTCAATTGGTTATTTATACATATTGATTCTATGTTAGTATATATTTCGGCCGAATACTCACTGTATGCGCTATTACTACAATTAATATTTTGATAATAACTACACAATTCGTTTTTTGAAACCGTGTTTTCATATTTATTTACTGTTGAACACAAGACTGTGTTATTATTTAAACACTTGGCGTTTATCCACTTTATTCAGTTGATACGGGTACTTTTACAAGTTTCGGGCGTATAGCCCCTCATCTGTCAACTGATTAGAAGAAACATATAGAATAGATTATTGCATTTTGTAAAATAAACTGTATAACAAAACTAAAACATATAACATTTAAGACATACCATTAAATGTTATAAGTTTTAGTGATATACTAATATACTAAATACATGGGATATACTAATATACTTTACAAATAATGTACACTCACTGCCAAAAGTTAAGCACGGAGTGATAAACTGCAAAAAATGGACAAATATAGCTGTGATTGACACAAAATGTGGCAGGACAGTAGCAAATATGTTTATGCATGAAACAACACAAAGAATTACATAAAAAAATGAAAACAATATTGAATTTTCATAAAGTATAAGATGAAATCATATTGGAATCATTAACAAAACGATGTTTAAATCCGAAACAAACAAACAAAACCAACATTAATAGGGTAAATGGTCAACCCTTATCCTTACACAAAGTTTACAGCGTGTAACCATGCTTTCTATGAGGTGATCAACCACTCCAGGGTCAAATAAGTGCCATTCCTCCTGTAAAGCAGTTTGCAACTCTGTGAAAGTGGCAGGGAATGGGAAACGTGCACACAGAGCACAGCCGAGGGCATCCCAAAGATTCTCAATGGGATTGAATACGCCGGCCAATCCATATGCATGATTCCTTCATTCTTGAGGTAGTCATCGACGATGGCAGCTCTATGGGGTCGTGCGTTATCATCTATTAAAACAAAAGCAGGACCAACTGCTGCAGCATACAATTTCACAATGGGTTCGAGGACTTCATCCTGGTACCTGACAGCTGTCGCAGAACTTCCTCGATAGATGTGCAGGTCGGTGCGATATCCCAACGAAATGCATGCCCATATCATAATGCTTCCACTTTGGAATGCGTGATGCTCGATGATGTTCTGGGGTCGATTGCGTGTGCCCTTTTCTCTTTATACTCTTACACGTTTGTCATCTGGCTCCAGGGAACATCGCGACTCATCCGTGAACATGACATTGCCCCAATCAGACACAGTCCAATTCACATGTTGCTGACACCACTTTAATCGTGTGCCTCTGGATTGGACGGATAGTGGAACACAAACTCATAGTATTCGGGCGTACAGTCCATTCATGTTTAGCCTTCGGCGCACAGTTGTAGCAGATATTGTTTTACCAATGGCTGCTGCAACCATCGATGTCACACTTGTAGAGATTGATCTTTGATTCCACTTGGCTACAAGAGCAATATAGCGATCTTCTGCAGGGGGGGGTCGTAAGTCTTGGGCGATCGGCCACAGGTCTTCGGACAACTGTTTGGCTTGTTTGGAATTGTTTCCATAACCTTGAAATGGTGGAATGATGAACGCCGAAGAAAAGAGCAACATCTGTGATTGATTGTCCTGCTTCAAGGCGTCCCACACACCGCCAGCGCTTACTGTCTATTATTCGTCTTCTGGAAGTCATACAAACACGTCAGTCATGCACACTAATTCTATGACAGTTCTCCACACTTTTTCTAGGCACTTATATGCAACTCCTCTCACACTTCAGAAGGCTGGCTTCTTATATGACTGCCTGTTCTTCATATTTCGCGACACATAACCATGATTGATAGTAACGTAACATATTTGCATACTTCCACCTACCTCTGCAGTGAATTGCAGCCTCTCAAATGCAGATTGCTTTCCAGACATGAACATTTTCNTGTTCTTCATATTTCGCGACACATAACCATGATTGATAGTAACGTAACATATTTGCATACTTCCACCTACCTCTGCAGTGAATTGCAGCCTCTCAAATGCAGATTGCTTTCCAGACATGAACATTTTCTTTTCTGTGCTTAACTTTTGGCAGTGAGTGTATTATTACTGATAAAAATTATAAATATTTATGGAAATAATTGAAACTGTATTTTCAGCTTCATCCATAAAATTTGAACCTTTGCTGGAGGCAGTATCACGAGTTAGCAATGAAAACGAGCAATTATTTACTGTGGCATCGTCACAATGCTGGGCTGCAATATTTTTTGTCGTATTTTTAAGTTTTTAAATTAAAAATATATGCTTTTCACATCAAATTAGAGTCTCTCGCCCTTGTACATCATACTTTCTTACTAGCAATAGAGTCGTGCAGGTCATCTATCTAACTCCTGTCACGGGAAAGTATTTGAATTGAAATAACGCGACATCCGGTGCAAACCAGACGTTCCTGTACCGTTAATCGGGAGCTCCTGCCACTATACTTTATATATCTAGTGTCGGCTTTTATCTATGTGGTATCGCTCTCGAGATTAAGGAATGGCAGTCTGTGGGAATTTTTCAAATTGCAGCCCAATAAAATTTATTATTTTATGAGTAAAACCTCAGATAAATATATCAATTAAAAAAGAAGAAAAAATGAAAGTACTGGATAGATTGAAGAATCTTCGAATCCACATAACAAATGATTGATCGATTTTATTTCATGGTAACCAGGAATAATGAGCGAGCCCTGAGTCTTTCAAGGGAAATAAATTATTATCAGGTAGTCACCCCTGTCTAATCGATTTTGCGAATTGCTGACACTGAACGAATTAGAATATTTCACACCACCTTATTTCGGTCGCGTGCGGGGATTCGGAGTAAGCGAATGGAGAAGGAAATTGGGAGACAGCGACCCTGAAGTGATTCACTTTGGTACTAATATTTAACGTTAAAACAACAGTAATTTATTTAACGTAAAATTAACAATGAATACGACAATACAAACCATTAACAATTAAATTTATCTAAGCCGTAGTATCTCCTCGCGAGAGAAAGAGTTTGCGTTTGAATCCCGCGAGGAGAAGATAGATACCTACACCTGCCAAATCGATTTTTAGTGGTTGTTCTAAATAAATCCAGGATCTTCCCGGAACGGAGCGGAAAGAAAATGGTGAGAAAAAGGGTGCACTTGGAGAAGAAGCGACGAAATTAATTCAAACTACTCGGGTTCGAACTCTCACTTGAACTCTCTGACCTTATCTCATCTTTTTATTTGCTCTCTTATCTCACGATTCCGTATGCTCAAATTTTATCAGTATCGTGCAGCGAAATGGACCATTCATATCCAAGATTTTCAGCAGATGCTACCTTGGATAAAAAGTAGTCCAGGAAGATGTGTCAATTAGAAAGCAAACGCTATCAGAAGTACAATTTTATGAACTTCCCTGTACAAAGTTGCTTTTCTTTTGACTTGATTAACTTTTTAACAAATACCAAATACTAAATTATAATTATTTAGTATTCACGTACGTTTTTTACTAACGATCTTGAATGGATAGTAATATCACTTGTATTCTTACTCCACGTTTATGACATTGCCACTTAACACTACTTATATATTAATCATTATAGAATTGTGTAGTGTGGGTAGAAATATATCTTGAACAGGTATATTATAAATTGTCAATTATAATTTTTGTTAGTTTCTCTGCGAATTTGTCTCTACAACGAATTTGTTACTACAGATACATATATATTTTTATGTATGACTGATGAGGGTCTTGTGTACCGAAATGCATACCAGTAATAAAGTTGCATTCCGATGATAGAAGTGTCATTTTAATGTTACTAGTAGCAATGTGATAAGTCTGTAGCCTACTACCTATTCTATTGTATTTAGAACATTAGATTCTCAAATTTTCGAGACAAAAGTCTCTTTTACGAAAAATAGCTTTAATTTGGGCAATATGGTATTGCTTTTACAGTAATAATTTTTTGGGTCTTACCTTACCATGGATTATTATTCCTCTTATCTCATAAAATACAGCTGGTTTTTGGAATTGCGAGATTGGGCTGACAGTATCATATTTTGTAAAGCTCAAGGCTCCTACATTTGGGCGACATGCAACTAATTGTGCCCCTTTAAAAGGCCCTTTTAGTGCGCAGAGGGCAAAAGTATCAAGAAACGGAAATAATTATTTAGTTCCTTAAGTACTCGTTTATATTAAACTTTTAACTGAAAATTTACATAATAATTTGGTATCAAAATTTCATCATTTTTAGTTAGTTTTTATTTCACTAGTAAAAATTATTTAGAGAAAACAAATTTATAATTTAGCGCTAAAAATTCGAGCATTTTTACAGCATTTACGAAATTCTAGTACAAAAATGCATTTCTGTCTTGTTTAAATTATTTATTGCTTATAAAATTTACAAGAATTAAAACAAAATTGTTTGCAAAACTAATTGTAAACAGACTTTTTAGCCACCATTTATATAAAGCGAAATTTCAATACAGAGACATTCTGATTTTAAAGACTTTTTAAAAATGTAAATATATTTCATGCAAAATCATTAAACTTTTATTAATATAAATAAATGATTTAAAGAAATCACAGCAAAAAATAATGTTCGATAATTATAAAATATAATAAACAAAGATAAATATATATTTTAGAAAATTGCAGAGTAGGATTTATATAAATCAGTTTATTTATAAACACTACAGTTATATAAAGTATTTATACGAAATATATCACTTTTGCTCAACCCTGGTTTACTGCTGATATTAATGAGGCTCACACCCTGTTTTAATGCTTCCATAGTTTTGCTGCGCCCGTCCTTGGAGAAGTATCTTTCTCCATAGAGCATAATGGAATTGTAATCAAATTCATTTAATATTCTCATACGATGTGGCGCAAACTTAAGGAAATTAAAAGTTTGATCTAAAGTGGATTACAAAATACAGTAAATTCAATTATATATTTTGTAAATAATTATTGAAATTGAAATTTTCTTACCTGGTTTTGTATTCTCCCAAAATACTTTTATGTATTCATCTCTGTCGGGTCGATTCTGTTCGTGGTAGAAGCCAACAACGCGGTTCAATTCATGAACTACGCTTCCAAGATTCCAGCAACCTCTCGCCAGTGATAAAATTTGTACTCCTTTATTTCGACCGATATGTGCAAAACAGCTAAAGTATACAAATTAATTATACATTTGTTTATACTTTTTTCGTGTTTTTTTTTTGCATTACTTACCCAGGACCTCTGAAAATTCTTACATAATTTTTTTCATTGGTTCTCTTAACAAACCGAACACAAGTATTTCGTTCGAATTGCATTATGGCTTCGTTTATTAATCGTTTAAATGTTTCGTAAGTTACTAAAAGTTTTAAAACGAGATATTAAAAGTTATATATTTGAAAGATTTTAAAACAATTGGAAACATTTTTACACAGTTCTTTTTCAATTTCGTATGGTATGGATTTTCCTGACCACAGCCTGTAATTATTTGAAACTGCACCTCTTGTCTGAAAATGTTTAATTACAGCGAGTAATTGGAGTAACAATGATTATTTTATATTTACACAACTGTTTAATTTACAATCTTCTATCGATGTCTATTATTACTTACATCATCGAAATCTCCGATAATATCGCCACCAAAAAGATTGGGATTTTGCATGAGTAGATCTGCATCTTCTGAATTTACTTATAATTTTTGCAAATTAATTTATCTAAAATCTAAAATACTAACAATGATTATGGGTTGAATAACCTTACCTTCAGAATGCTCCTGATTTGGAATGTTAGAAAAAGCCAAGAGGAAGATTGCTAAACAAATCATTTTGAAAAGTTACAGCTAGAAATGGAAATAATGCACTATATTATAAATAAAATAGTGTTCACCCAGAAGCACTTTTGTTTACATATATAAAATAAACGATTATATTAAATAAATGCAGATTAAACATTTAGATGTTATGTCTTGGTTGTAAGTGGAACAGAGGAAAAGTACAGCGATCTTTCTATAATTAATTATATACACAGATTTCGTTGCCGCATTCGGACAGAAATAAAATAAAAAACATGAGATATTAAAAAAACTTCGTGGGTTTTTTCTGTATGTATGGATGTTAGTATGTGTGTTTGAGAGGCACGATTTTGTTCACTCTCTTTGAAGCTTAATAACTCCTGTTCTCTTTGTCGAAAATTTCTAAACTTTTGCAGAAAGGTTTGTTTATTAGGGTGTTGATGCAGTTAATTTAAATTTTCGTAATTAAAAGTCGATGGAGTACAGAGATAAAGAGAGTCGGATGTGTCTCCAGTAGTGTCAAATTAAATGACCGTTTTACTCGTTTTTCGCATTTGCAAAAATTTTTTTTATAAAACTTTTCACTGGCTTCAATATTTAATTTTTTTTACTATTTTATAATAATTAAAAATATAATAAGATTTTAATAATAGTAGAATATTATAAGGGATGGCGGCACACACGGAGCTTTAGTTGTTGCCTGGAAAGTTGAGCAACTCCTTTCTGGACTTTCTGATATGTAAATCAGTTATAAAAATGCTGTCATTATATCTATTTTAAATGTTTATTATTAATATTATTATTATCATCATTATTAATTAAACTGTATTTGTATTTATTTTTTATCGTATATTTTTTTTCATTATTTTTACCTTTCGATAGCAGCAAAATGCTGTTAGTGTTATGAGGTGAGGTGCTTTTCGATGGAGGTTTTTTTCACTCTCTTCACGTTATGGACACTATGAAAAATTTTCTTTTATTAATCTTATTTTGGATTGTGAGGGACAGGGTCCGACATACCTGGAAGGAACACCCTTTCCGAAAAATTCCTGGAAATTTTTTAACCTGTTCGGATTAGACCCTGCGTCACCCAGAGCGATTTGCTGACATTTTGACCGCTCTGCATCCGGCTATAATTTGGATGGGGTGGTAAAACAAATCAAGCGTTTATCTTAAATTGTATTAATGCTGTAGGATTCCAACAAATGCTAGATTTACACTTAATACCATTTACGGAAAAAATCTCTGTAAAGATTTTCAATTTCGACAAGATAATGCAAAGTTAAATTGGGGGTGGTTTTTTTTTGTAAATTGTATGCATATTATGGACTTGCCGTATGTTCTGATCTTCATCTAATAGAAAACACGTTTGGTATTATAAAGCAGTATAAAAAGTGAGTTTTTTAATCGACACTTCTACATTATCGAATATCGATTCTTTCATAATTATAATGCCACAACCGATTACTGAATCCGTTCGAATGTTAATTATTGCAATTAGACGGAACGGAATGAAGGTTACAGATATTTCAAATGTTTTTAAAGTATCGGAGAAAGCAGTTTTCAAGATTTGTAATCAGTATGCAGAAAGAGGAATTGTTTCACAGTGAATATAAACAGATTGTTATCGAATTGCCTTTTTGTTGAGGACGCAGAGCTGATAACAGCTAACAAACGGTATCTGTTTAAAAACGCAAATACTCTCAAACAACAACAGCAACAGTTCATTTGCATCTCTGCAAAGTCAAGAGACGGTAAACAGATTTGCTCTAACTGATATATTGATAGATGATAGAAATAATTACAGAATACTTTGCGCTTTATCTATAAATATAAGAATATGTTCTAAAGAAATGCGAATTGTCTGCTTATTACGAAATAATAATGGAATGTTTGTGATATTCTTTCGAATTAGCACTTGGATATAGGATTGGCATATTGTATATGTTATGTTATAGTTGTTTTATTTTTTATGGGTTATAACCACATGAATTTAAACATGCGGTCATGAATAAAGTAGGAACGAGATTATGATTATAGTGATAAAATTAGGCTTTGTGATAAATCTATATGTATTACTTTTAATCTATAGTTTAAAGAGATTTATATTACTTTTATGTTTGTTAGATTAACAGAATCGAATTTGCACGGAAGAAAAGCCGCTAACGAGATCTCGACCAAAAGTAATTCAATGAACCTTATGGTGTTTGCCTATCAATTTCAACATTGATTTCAATGTTGCAGCAATGTTATATTTACCGAAGAGAAAAGTTTTACTAGCGATGTATTGACTTTACATCTGTAAATTTCATTTTAATAATTCTATTTATTAGAAAAGAGAATCATTTTAATTTTTAAAGCCGAATAAATGAAATCGCCCGTCACGTATTCGTCAAAAGTAACCGATTGTTGAAACGCATTGTTAAATATCTTAATTGTTGGCTGTTATGTTTAAAAAAAAAAAAAACCTTTTTCTTTCCTCCTGCAGGTAAGAAGATAGTAACGGGATGGAAGTGTTTTATCTTTCCCTTCTTCAAATTTCACATAAGTTCTAGAGAGAAGACACCGAGGGAAGTCGGAGACTGCTCTGACTTTTTTGAGTTTTGGGCAATTGTATCGAGTTAACGATCGTTACAATTATTCAGTTTTATCGTTTTCTATTTTTAATTTGTATTTCGAATATTGTTCAAGAAGCATTCGTAGCGAATTATATTTCATTTCCAAAATTCTTTCGTATGTTTCACTATAATAAAGTATCGTTACTGACTTTCATTGTCAGTAGATAGAATATTGCATGCATTAGTTTGTATCGGAATTATACGGTAAGTTTATAGTACTGTACAAATGTTTGTGTGCAATAAATGTACAAAGTTTAGTTAATATTAAACTATTTAATTAGTGTGAAACAGATGTTATTCAAGTGTGAGTTAGGACGAATGAAATTCCACAAGTGATGTTAATCACGTGTGTAGTTGTATTCTTTTCAACTCTCGGTGAAACTCTGACGCAACCACCTCCCCGTGGTGAGTTCTGGGTTGCCGTTCGTTTGAAAATAACGAAGGGCAAGCGAAGAGTTGCGTGTATCTGTTTAATTTATTATTATAAGAAAGAATGAAAAGAAGGCAATACACATAGGAATGATAAAAGTAACAAGCAGTTATTTATTTTGACAACGTCACAATGTATTCTATTCTAGTAGTTTCTTAAAATAAATACTCATTGAACGAATTGCCCTTTAATTTCACGTGTTTTGATTGTATAGACAATTATAATTCCTGCACGTGTTTGGTAGATTTTAATGATTTTAATTGTTAATTTATTAATATCAGAAAATTATGTTTACCACATGAAGCGCATTGTTCCCGCCGAAGATACAGTACGTTACGTGCAGGCCAACATTTAACAACATTGATGATGTAAAAGCGTTAATTAATAATAAATTTTAAGGTTATATTACTTAATAATAATAAAAGTTGCACTAATTATATATTTGTGCTATAAAATATTTTTAAAAAATTATTATAATGTATTACAGTATTCATGGCAATTTAATATTAAAGTATAATGATAATAAAAATGCATAGTTTATAAAAATTAAAATCAATTCCAATTAATAAATATACCTTAATAGTTGCTGAATTCTATTTGGAGTAATTTATTAACATTATTGAAGTTTCGAGATGTCACTGAAGATACATATGAATTCGAAATTTGTAACCAAACCATTTTTAATACACTCAAAGAATGAGTTTTGTAAAATAAAATGAAATATTATGTCCAACACTTTGAAAAATTCATGTATATTACATTTACAATGTCAAAAGTACCAGTTGTTATAACTAGTACCAATACAACTAGCATTTATACTACTCATATTTTCAGCAGTATACACATTTCCAGAACTTAAAGACAGACAACATTTGTACATGAATAGAAAAAACTGTAGTTGAATGCACACAAATACGGCAAGTACTGTATTGCTCGATGTCTAACACAAGGAATTACGTGATAATATGTAGAATTTTACAAAATAAAACAATAAAAGTAAGTCTTTGGTCAAAAAGATATAAACTGCATTTGGACATAGGTGGAGAACGGATGGAAAGGGCTTATGAATACCCTGGCAGAGAGACTTGCCTATATAGAAAATGTCCACCTCGAATTGCAATGCAGCACTGCAAAGTCGTAGCAGGTTCGACACGAAATAATTCAGGTGACGTTCTATAACTATCATAGTTAACATTGTGTTTATTCATAATTTTTGGACACATGCATAGTTGCTAACAACATTAGTTAGTATATGGCTCAATTAGGATTTAATATTGCAGAGAACCGGGTTAAACGGATATAAAGTAGATCTACTTGATTGCCTTTTTTCATGTTATAATTGTTAAGTGTAAGCATAAAATTGCTTGTAAAATTCTACGAATCTAGTAGAAAAGCTGATATTCGGAAACCTGTATAATAAGTCAAACATTGTTAATAAGTTATAGACGACAAGTATCTTCAACATGGGTATTTTTGCATGGATCCTCTACAAAAAATTTTTCAAATTTTTTTCTACCCCAGCTTGAATTTGTCATTCAAAGCTGTTAAACATTTAGTAGACTCATTCATCCCTGGCATAAAATTCATACAAATGACGTTCAATTTTTCATTGCACTTGATGCTAAAGAACTTTTTCTTTTTAGTAGAAGAGTAAAACGTATTTCGAAATGCTGCGGCGCTGAGAAATGTTCATGCATACATTGCACAGTGTCCTACAAAGAGAAAATATCTATTCCGTTTAATGTGGAGTTTGCGGATTTTCACAAATGCCTGTTGTCTTCAAGATTTCAGTTACAAATGAGGCAGTTGCCCGCGAAGAATTCAGTTGTTTCACTGATGGAGAACAAACTGTTTCGTAGTTTTTTTAGATTCTGAATATGTCAGGCCCTACGCCCAACTTCTTATTTACCTGGTATGATGGGTTTTCAGCCTTCACTACTGAGTAATAAATTCAATAAGAATTTGACTTATTGAATGTATCGTTACTTATAATTCTGAAAGATCTGTAAGAGGTGTATTGAATTTAATAAAAATCAAGATCTGTTCTTTGGTGCTTGAATTATTTTGAAACCAATTACACCGTATGTTTTAATACTATGAAGGTCATGACAAGATATTAATGTCGATTTTACTTAAATGTTTATACATATAGAAATAAACATTTTCAAAAATCTGATAACTTTTATTCACGAAGTCGTATCATGAATTCGTGTACGATTTCGTGTTCGACTAATTTTTTTCCTCTTATCTCATAAAATACGGCTGGTTTTTCAGATTGCGAGATTGGGCTGCCAGTAGCAGATTGAGATATTTGTAGAGCTCAAGGGTCCTACATTTGTGGCGACATACAACTATTTGGGCCACTTTAAATATAATTTTGGTTACATTTACTTTTTATAAAATTTATCTGGTAACCTGTGGGAATCTCACTCAGCACGAGCTATTTACTTGCGGTTCATTTAAATTCATATTATTAATTATTAATTAACGAAAATAACGTTTTGCATACGAAGTGGTATTCCATTTTCTTAATTAATCTTAACCGGTTACGTGGCATTTGGCATATTGTATAAAAATATGTAAATCTCGGATAATTCGAAACGCGATAATTCGAAGTCGCGAATATTTCGTCTCTCAAATCTCAAACCGAAGAAATCTTTTAATGCTATCTTTATCTCTTATCTGTATTCGTAAAAGAGAAGACAGACTCCATGCTATCACATGCTAAGACACATTAACTCTGTCTATCTCTCTAAAGACTTGACTTTTAGCGATTGAAATTTAATAGTATTAATATACGAGAGTTATTTTTTAAAGTGAATGAACACATTCTTGTCTTCCAGACACACACACTAATATCTAAAAAAAGGAAATATTTTTTTTAGCACGATAATTCACGGTAGTGGTAAAGTACTTATGTTAGAACTTTGGACTGTCTGTCCGATTTCCATGCGCTAGCGCAATGACTTTTGCTATCTTATGTTCTGTCGAACCACTCGATTTAAACTGAAAAGTACACTTTATAACTTAAACCAAATATCAGTTAGGTAGAAATTCTCAACGTTAGGTTTTGTGTTATGTTCCGTTCAATCCGTTCATTTCGCATGTCCACGCGCATACACAAAAGAGAACTGAACATTTTCGTTAACGGTCAATGTAAGCTGCAGTAAAATCTTCCCAGTTAGCATATTTTATTAAATTAAATATTATAATAAACATAATATAGATAGGTTTCACCAGTCTTGTTTTTATTTCTCGACGTTTCAACGCGTCGTGGGTACAAAATTATGAAAATCTTGGGGGTTATTTTTTGACAGATAGCTATACTTTTTCTCTGTTTCACATAACAGCCGGGGAAAATATCTAAAAGTTTATTCTGCATTTATTTAATATAAACATTTCTTTCATTTATATAAACAAAAGTGCATCCGTGTACACACTATTTTATTTATAATATAGTGCATTATTTCCATTTCGAGCTGTAACTTTTCAAAATGATTTGTTTAGCAATCTTCCTCTTAGCTTTTTCTAACATTCCAAATCAGGAGCATTCTGAAGGTAAGGTTATTCAACCCATAATCATTGTTAGTATTATAGCTTTTAGATTAATTAACTTGCAAAATTATAAGTAAATTCAGAAGATGCAGAGCTACTCATGCAAAATCCCAATCTTTTTGGTGGCGATATCATTGGTGATTTCGATAATGTAAGTAATAATAGAAATCGATAGAAGACTGTAAATTAAATAGTTGTGGTGTAAATGTAAAATAATCATTGTTACTCCAAATTACTCGTTTAATTAAACATTTTCAGACGAGGGGTGCAGTTCCAAGTAATTATGATTTGTGGCCCGGAGGAACCATTCCATACGTAATTGACAAAGAACTGCGTAAAAATTCGTTTCCAATTGTGTTAGAATATTTGAAATATATATGTTTTAATAACTTGTTTTAAAAGTTTCAGTTGGTTACAAAAAATTTAGACGATTAATAAAGAAAAGTATGAGGTATTTCAAAGTAAAAACTTGTATTCGATTTATTTGGAGAACCAATGAAAAAGATTACGTAAAAATTTTTAAAGGTCCTGGGTAAGTAATGCAAAAAACCATCCAAAAAAGTATACAACAAATGTATAATTAATTCGTGTACTTTTAGCTGTTTTTCACATGTCGGTCGAAAGAAAGGAGAACAATTGTTATCACTGGCAAAAGGTTGCTGGAACTATGGAAGCATAGAACACGAATTGAATCACGCTGTTGGCTTCTACCACGAGCAGAATCGACCCGACAGAGATGTATACATAAAAGTATTTTGGGAGAATATAAAACCAAGTAAAAGAATTTCAATTTTAACAATTATTTGCAGTATATATAAATATAAATTAATACTTGTGTTTAATGTATTCTTATCTATTTGTAGATGAGACATGGAATTTCCTTAAGTTACCGACAAGTCAAATTAGAATATTTAATGGATTTGATTATAATTCCGTTATGCTCTATGGAGAAACATACTTCTCAAAGGACGGGCGCAGCAAAACTATGGAAGCATTACAACAGGGTGTGAGCCTCATTGACATCAGCAGTAAACCAGGGTTGAGCGAAAGTGATATATTTCGTATAAATACTTTATATAACTGTAGTAATCACAAGTGAAGATAAGATATAAATCCTTACTCTGCACTTTTCTAAAATATATATTTATCTTTGTTTATATCTAATATCATATGATTATCGAACATTATTTTATGCTGAAATTTCCTGAAATCATTTATTTATATTAATAAAAGTTTAATGATTTTGTATGAAATATATTTAAATTTTAAAAAGTCTTTAAATCAAAATGTCTGTACTGAAATTTCTTTTTATATAAAGTATGGCTCGAAAGTCATTTTATATTTGTTTTGCAAACGATTTTGTTTCAATTCTTGTAAACATTATAAGCAATAAGGAAGAAATTAATCTTTGTACTCGAATTTCGTAAATGCTGTACGCATATAGAAATTTTGAGCGCAAATTGTTTTCTGTTAATAATTTTTACTAATGAAATAACAACGTACTAATAATTATAAAGTATTAAAATCAAGTTCTGTAAATTTACAGTTAAAAATTTAAAATAAACGAGTACTTAACGAACTAAATAATTATTTCCGTTGTTAATACTTTTTGCCTGTGGGCACTCAAATGGTCTTATAATTATATACACAGGGTTCGATGTCTCCTTCGAAGAAAAAATTAAGAAAATAACAAGAACATGACATATGCAAAAAAATTCGGAGGTTTTTTCTGTATGTATGGATATTAGCATGTGTGAAGGGCAAGATTTTCTTCACCCTCTTTCAAGCTTAATAATTCCTTTGCTTTATGTTGGAAATTTTTGAACTTTTACAGGAAGGTTTGTTTATTAATGTATTGATGCAATTAATTTAAATTTTGGTGATTAAAGGTCGAGGGATTAGGGCGATAAAGGGAGTCGGTTGTGTCTCCAGTAGTGTCAAATTTAATGACGATTTTACTCGTTTTCCGCATTAACATAATGATCAGTATATATAATAAAGGTAAAGCGTACAATGTGCGTGCCGCTAAAACTCAAAAACGAGTCCCGGTACGATCAAGGGAATTATATGGTGTGGTAGCACTCTATCCTCCATCCATGAAGAAGGTTCCCGTTTTTAACTGAAGGGCGTGCTGTTGAAGATATAAGGGCAGGAAGTTTCGCCTACTAGAAATTTTTAGAACAGTCCAGATCATTCGGAAGTATTCGAGAGCATTTTACAACATTCTAGAACACTCGAATGTTGTGGAATGTTCTGGAACATTGTGGACCATTCGAATCCTTTTTTTGTATGGGTGGGACTACCCGTTGGTGGGGGTATATAAAACACTGCTTAGCATCGTGGAGAATGTGAATTTTGTTGTTATGTATTAATGTAACTCAAAATAGATGTAAAATTCATATAAAACAATAAAATTATTTTAAAAAATTTATCTTGTTGTAGGTTAAATGCTTGCATTACATGCGGTGAATAGGTAATTTTATATTATTTTTATAAATACCACATATTTTTTTTCTTTAATTAGATGTTCTTGTGATTTAAGATGAAGTAGTGCATTCAACATTTATATTTGTAGCCAGTTTTCACAACGAATTGGTTGAAAATGCTTTGAATAAATGTAAGCTATAAAGAATTTTTTAAATTAACACTTAAAATAAACCAGTTCTTTTCTGAAAATCCCAATCGAAGAGCCTACGCAAAAAACTTTTTATTATAAAATCGCAAACTCGTTTTCTAAACGCGAATTTAGTGTAGTAGATTGATCACTTTATTGACCTCTTTACAGTAGACCCCTCCATAACACGGTAGATACGTTCCGTGTTTTATGAATTCCATGTTGTGCGAGTCACTTAAATACATGAGCCAATCACAGCCCGCCACGTATGCAGTTTACGAACTACGGCTGTTTGAAAAGTTTTCTTCTATAAAATTAATCGATTCTAGACTAATTTGACACAACATTTCCAAAACACGTATAATTTTTTTTTGGGAATAATCCATATAAACTATTCTATAAACAAAAACTGTAGGATTACTTACCTAGTTTGCACCGTTCGACGACGTCATTGTTTAAGCTTGTTTTCGTCGCGGAGCGGCGCATCGAACGGCAGGGCGCGTGTTTTCTGATAAGTTATTTTTCTGCTCGTCAGACTTTGGAGACATCATTAATATAAATATAATTTTTATGGCCGTTAAATAATAAATGGTTTTTAGTAGATCCGCAACTCGTTTAAAGTCAATGGTTTGTGCAATATTGATCTAGATTCGACCAAACTTGTCGCGACACGAGTCGGCGATGACGTTTTACCGTATTATACGATTTTCTTTTAACGTGTTTATACGAACACGATCGCATTTTGCTCGCCGTGTTTTACGAATCCGTATTATATGTTATAGGAGGATCTACTGTACACACTTCCAATTCATCACTTTATCCATTTCAAAACTTGTATACTTTCAATTTTACATTTTACGATACAATTTTATTATTTGAAATAATTTGTGTAAATAAATCGAGACTTGAAATTTTTGTCTTCCCTAAAACCCGTATAAATACATATTTCTCGGTTTATGAATTTCAAAAATTATTTTAAAATATTATGAAAACCATAAAAAATATTTAAAACGAAATTTATTTTTTCATTGTTAGCGATCTTCAACAATACGTTTTGCACCCGATTGTTATAGAAATGTGTTGGCTTTTCGGCATTGAATTTTCAGTCGGTGGACAAAATTCAATGCCGAAATTCAGTCGGTGGACAAAATTCAAATATAAAGACCTTTCAACGCAATAGAAAGGTCTTTATATTTTTCATTTTCTTTTAAGAAAACTTCAGCAAGGTAATTATTTGAATTATTTATTTATAGAAATGAAAAATCTCATTTAAATATCAAATTTATTATATAAATTAATATACTCATTAAGATTTACATTTAATGTAATTTATAAATAAATTAAAGTCTAAAACTCAGCTTCTGAGTGACATTGTTCACTTGCAATTTTATAATTCTGAAGTCTCATTGTAATTCTATCATCTAACAACTTCAACACAAAATTCTAATTAGTGGAGGAATCAACGACGTAATACACAGACAGCCAATCAGGCTGTTTGTTCCTCGCGTGTATTCAAGCAGCATTTAAGTCGATTATAAAGCGCACATTCATTTAAAAGATCGAAAAAGTTTCAAAAAGATGCTCATTAATAAATACTAACGTGTATTTTATTAGGAATTAATTTTTATTGTGTGCCATCCATGTGATTTCATTACGTTTATCTGAATTTTTTTTTTTTAGCCAACTGTTTCATTTAAGAAATATTTTACCGAATCCGAGATGAAAAAATTGTTAAAAAAAACTTTCCTTAAAAAAAAATGCAATTAAAACGCTGGAAATATTACATCTATGACGTGTAACTCGTGACGTAAAACGTGAGGAACGTCGACAGATTCGAATTCGTTCCATTTCTTATTGCCGACGCCATCTTAGAATTGAACGTTTTTTCGGAAATTGTGAGTTATTTTTCTTTCTATTTTATCATTTTTCGCATAAATTTTAATAACCAAACCTTGCGTAACGTAAGTAACTTAATATTTCTCTATTAATAAAATATAAAAATTGAGTAACTCGCAATAGAAAGGTCTTTATATTTTTCATTTTCATTAAAAACGTAAGACCTTTTTCTAGCCTTATTCATAGGTAAATGGTGACTTTACCTATTGTATTTTGAAATAAACTTAGATATTTCCTCTGTATTTTTTACAAAATTGTATAATTATGGACTCTATAATAGTGAAAGCGTTTAGAATAAAATATTTCCTCCTTTTAAGATCGTTCTTATATCTTCTAGCATTACTGTGTACCATCTGGTGTTGATTATGCAATTTACAATAGCTAAAATCCAAATGAATTTGTTGACTACTAATATATACTGACCACATATAATGTAGTGTACACGTAGATTACACTTTGCATGCAAGANTTTTTTTAGCCAACTGTTTCATTTAAGAAATATTTTACCGAATCCGAGATGAAAAAATTGTTAAAAAAAACTTTCCTTAAAAAAAAATGCAATTAAAACGCTGGAAATATTACATCTATGACGTGTAACTCGTGACGTAAAACGTGAGGAACGTCGACAGATTCGAATTCGTTCCATTTCTTATTGCCGACGCCATCTTAGAATTGAACGTTTTTTCGGAAATTGTGAGTTATTTTTCTTTCTATTTTATCATTTTTCGCATAAATTTTAATAACCAAACCTTGCGTAACGTAAGTAACTTAATATTTCTCTATTAATAAAATATAAAAATTGAGTAACTCGCAATAGAAAGGTCTTTATATTTTTCATTTTCATTAAAAACGTAAGACCTTTTTCTAGCCTTATTCATGGGTAAATGGTGACTTTACCTATTGTATTTTGAAATAAACTTAGATATTTCCTCTGTATTTTTTACAAAATTGTATAATTATGGACTCCATAATAGTGATAACGTTTAGAATGAAATCTTTCCTCCTTTTAAGATCGTTCTTATATCTTCTAGCATTACTGTGTACCATCTGGTGTTGATTATGCAATTTACAATAGCTAAAATCCAAATGAATTTGTTGACTACTAATATATACTGACCACATATAATGTAGTGTACACGTAGATTACACTTTGCATGCAAGAATATACTTTAAAAATACAGAACTGAAACTACTTCATGGCATGTACGGTGAATAACTTAAATGTTATAGAAAAATTATGAAATAATGCAACGTAAAATTCTTAAAGTCTAAGTGACTTTATTAATATTATTATATGCTGTTTAAATCATTTAGAAACCATACTCCCAGACAATATAACGATGATTGATATTTTAAAAGAACAGTCAGGCCTCTTAACTATTATTAGGAACAGATAAAGATTTTCTTGAAGCACAATGGTACTTGTTAGCTTACAGAATATCTTCACATGGTTACAAATTTCTTAAGGCATCAAATATCTAAAAACTGCCGGGTCCATCAACTATTCGACAATTATGCAATGGTTTTCAAAGAAATCCTCTATCAGAAAAATATCCATCAAACTTGTTAAGGTATATATCAATAAAAAA